CTGATCAGTTACAATGTGCTGGCAACAGGCACTCTCCAAATGTTGTTTTAACAGCCAAAGGAGTCCACCGAAGGAAATAACATTTGTTATTTGGCGTATATTTTCATGCATCGGTCTTAATTCTCTGCAGTTCAGCCAGGGTCTCTTCAAAGTGTACATTTTCGGGTAAAAATTGCTATGGAGTGAATAGCAGCCATCTGTAATGCTGCTCATCTGCATTGTCCCACTTATACCCGGATACTGAACTTTGTTTATGTTCGCTAATCACTGTCTGTCTGTTACAGAACGTGTTCACATATGAAACCCTCTGTGACAGTCTTTAAATATTACTGAATCTCATAGAAGTTAAATTAGCAGTCAGTGTTTGCCATAGACGATCTAATAATGCAGATGTTAGCTGTGACTTTAGAAATCACTTAACAAAACCTAAAGGGAAATACATAGTTTAGCAATTGCTTTTGGAAGTCATCTACGAATTTTTTTGAACATCAGGCAAATGAGGAAGATCTTCTATAGATGGATAGCTGTGCTGGTAGCAGGGTGTAAGGCTTTTCTGTAAAGGATCTGTGAAGATTGGCTGGGCTGCCTGATTTTGAATTACCTTATAGCTCACAGGTGCGAAACACAAGCAGCTTTTCCTCCTACAGTGTAATCATCCTCTGCTGACACTGAAGTTTTACAGATTCATTTAAGAAAGGGCATCTTTCTCACATTGAGGGATAATTCCCCTTTCAGAGGGAAATGTGGGTAAGACAACAAAAGCATCCACAGCAATGAGAAATTAAAAAGAAACTTGTGGAGTTTTATTTTGTTGAGAGAATTTAAGGTAGATTTTAGGAGGAAAGCTCCTCTGCTAGTTTGTTACGCTGCAAACTCTTCTTGTTATCATAGCATGTAGAAATCAGATTCAGACTTTACTGCACTAGATGTGCAAAGTAAGGAGAGATGCTTTCTTCAGTGAGATTAAAACAATCTCAGGGATGGATAAATAAGTAAGTGAATGTAGCAGGTATTACAGAAAATGATGGGGATGTAAGCTTATGCAAAGTTTGCAAGGATGAGGTTCTGTTACTACATTGAAAAGATTACAGATATATTAGCTGTAGGCATAAATTTCTAATAGTGCAAATGAATAGAGTGAAACTTGCAGAGGGCTCTGTTTTACTCAGCCTTTTCCCAAAGTAGATAAGTTGACTTAGCAGTGTGATGTAATAAGTGTCTGCTTAATAAATGAGTAAACTTCATCAAAAAAAAAAAAAAGAGGATTTGGAGTAATCAATAGGGCGCTACACCCAGATGTAATCTGTGCAAGGTTAAGTGATGCAGTGTAAGAAGCTATGACTATGACAAGATTCGGCGGCTGTTCATACAGATTAAAATATTTATTATTCATATTTTAAATAAACCCCGAATTATTCTGGGCCGTGTAGTAGTCAGAACAAAAAGTAATATTTTCTTAACATTTAAAGAGCAAGGTGTGAGATTCATCTCAGTTAACTTTACTGGCTTTAAGGTTACATGTCTCCTGTAAGCTTGTTGATTTAGGCTTTGTCTGTAGTCACTGAAGAAATATGGGCACCTTCAAAGCACTGTCCGTCCCACCTGTCCCCAGACTGTTTTAAGGTGCCTTTTTCTTTCACTGACATTAGAGAGCGCCTTGATTACCAGCTGACAGTAGACATCTTATTTTTGACATTTAAATTTAGGTGGATGAATTCTTCTTGTCCGTAATAGCAGACTTGAGTAAAAGCTGGAGGCTTCAGTCCTCTATTCAGCAGTCAGACAAACTCTGCTTGTGATTTTGAGCTAGACATTTCAGCTGATATTCGCAAGATTAGTAGATCTTGTTAACAGTCTGGCTTTTGTACATCTCCCATTTCCTCCTCCAGGAAGTATTACTTTGCAGTGATTACTCTGTAGTAATTTGTGATTAAATGCAAAATAAAATATTGCAGTAGGGTTGTTGTTTATTCAGTTTCAAGTGTTTCTGGGGAAGAAAAAAAGGCCAAGTAAAATTATTTATAGTACAAATGGGTGGGATACTATTACTGCTGTGTAATTTCCAGTAAGTCATTTTTTTAGTCTTCTGCCCTACCTTTCTGGCATACCAAAGAGTATCAGGGTACCTTATGAAGCTTTCGGCTTAGAGGTAACATTATACCCAGTATTTTTCTTTCAGGTGTGTTAATGTAGTGACATTGTTAGTCCCACATCTGGTAGCCTCTGGATATTTCCTTTCCCAGAGCAATCATCAAACCTGACTCTGGATATGTGATGAAAAATATACTATCAGTAGGAAAAGAAAGAAACATGGAATTCTGGCAGCCAGATAGTATCAGTACTGGATCATGTGAAGAATAAAGACACCAGTCCCCATTTCAGCCTCATTCTTTGTGCCAGCTGTTTTTCCTACATGCTCCTTTATTCAAGAGTTTTCCGCTATTAGGCTGTCACAATTTAATTCAATTGCTGCATGAAGTTCTCACTGTTAAGAAGTCTGGATGCCAGGTTCATCCTCCCTGGGTGTCATTTTGTCTGTGCTAGGGAAACCATCAAAGTTTCCATAAATCTGCAGAAGTAAACACGTATGCTCAAAACAAGGAGCTTGTCCTTGTTCATTCTTTTCCCACTAGCTCTGATGTTGCTGATTTTACAGCCTTATTCTGTATTTATGATATGGTTGCCATAGTAATTTCTGTCTTGGCCAGCTAGTACCCCTGTTTGTGCTGTTTTTCAGGGTGCTATCTTGTTAGTGTAGCCACAAGTTGAGGTTAACCATCCGCTAGTGCATTGCTTCCTTTTTGCTATTTGTTGTGCCTGGTAATCTCTCATGTTCTTATCTTAGCTACAGTTCAGGCTCAACAATTTGCACACATACCCTCACACCCAGCAGCTAGCCTGGTGAAACTGCTGGTGGAAACACCTCCTTCACCTGCTTGGTCTGACTTACCAGAGACAGTCCTCATGTCCAGTGACAGCTAGACCTTGATGGAGACATCAAGCTTAACATTCTGATTTCTGCCAGCCTTTCCCCTGTTAGTAAGGCCACAAAATACACGCACGCGTTCCACCCTGTTGCTGCATCTTCAGGCATCTTGCGCTTGGCTATCCTTGGCTACCTTATAATGGTGACCCAGAGTGGGAAATGCTCATTAACCCTTTTCTCCTGGACTAGAGAGTTACCTGTTTTCTGGTGATTTCTTCCATTCTCTGCCTAGTTTCACCTCTGAGCCATGTGGAGAAGCTGCCCGGAAAGGGTCAGTTATTATGTACAGGCTGTCTTCCTGGAGATCATCTCCCATTTACCGAGATTACCCTTGTGGCAACTTGACAGTGAAAACTGACTAAATGTGAATGGGAATTACTGCATTAAAAGGATCTGAGATCTATGCCAGGGTTTTTTTTACTGGTAAGATGCTCTTTTGCCAACTAGAATACAAAAAAGAAAAGTTCAGAGAGGTTGTGTCCTCTACTCACCTGGCTTAATTTGAGACAACACTCTGAAGACAACCTAACAGTATACTACATCACCTATATAAATTTCCTTTTAATATAAGGAATGCACCTTTCATTTTTTTCCAAATTATTTACTAGGGAGCAGCAAGAAGAAGTGGGAAAATGGCTTGTTTAGTGCCTTAGGTAGTTGCTGCTACTGTTGCCTCTCATCTGTATGATGTATCTTCCTCCTACATATGCATGTGGTAGCAGAGAGTTAGAGGTTATTTTTTCTTGAAGTAGAAGAAAAGAAACCCAGTTCATAGGGAAGAATTCCAGACTAAGTAAAACTACTGTATTTTGTGTCATTATCTATCTAGTATCAGCTTACATTTCCCTTCCATCAGACCATGATGTCACATTGCGGTCCGAGACAGCACCTGCAAACCAAGCAAGTGAAAATACACTGATGAGGATTAGAATTAGATTTCTCTATGCACAAAAAAAAATGCATCTCCTTCCATGTACAGATGGCCCTTGATATGTCATGAGATATGTCACCATGCTATGTAGTAAAATCTATACAGTAGTGTCTCTGTTTAAAGAAAGGGAAAATTTGCACCCTGAACCTCATGATCTGTTTCTTATTGATGGTTTAGTAGGACATTAGGTAGTACTTAAGATTAAGAGGGATGATTCTTTGAGTTCAGTTTTGAAATAAATCTGAATTTTGAATGTCTGTAGGTTGTTTTTGTCTTTGCCATGGTCCACTGCTTCTGGAAATGCCAGTCTGCAGCAAGCTGATCACACTGCCACAATAACAGAGCTATGCAAACAAGATATTTTGTTTGGGTACAGTATGAAGGGTGATGCTGTTCTTGTAGGTAAAACCAGCCCCCATCAGCTTCAGCTTAGCGCAGGACTTTGTCTAAGAGCGACGTAACACATGGTTTGGCAAATATATTTAGAAGACACAAAATATTCTTGGGATCATTTCATTACATGTTCTTTGTTTAAATGCAGCTTGTCTACCCTGACTCCGTTACAATTCTGTTTCTGTAAAATATTTTGCTTCCATACAAATTGCTGAAAAGAATTCTCAAAATGTCAGTATGTGATAAGCACTTAGTATTCATAGGAGCTGCTGAAAAGCCCATCTGCTATGCAAATTAATATCTAAGAGTAATTTCTGAATGGGGATTCATAGAGGCATGGTTCAGAAAAACTATTAGCATATATTTACCTTCCAGTGATTTCCTTAAAATACAGATTTTTACTTGAATACATTTTTACAGTCAGGAGTGATTTCCCAAGCTGAAGTTGTACTCATTACAACTAATATTACACCATATTGTTTGTTTATTAATGGACTTGAATTTTATTTGCTCATTCCTCTAGCAAGTTCAATTCTCAGTGATAGAAAATGCACTCATTAGTTCAATTATTCACGAAGCATGTCCTGTGTGATTTCGTTATTCCCCACCATCCTGTGGGATGAGGTGGCTTTGTCTCAGGAGCTTTCAGGTGCACTTGTCCCCACTAACTCTTTCTGTCCTGTCCCCTAGTGCATCTTGTGGACATCTGGAATGTGATAGAAGCCTTGCGGGAAAACGCACTGAACAACCTGGACCCCAACATCGAACTGAACGTGGCTCGCCTGGAAGCTGTGATTTCAACTATCTTCTACCAGCTTAACAAACGGATGCCGACAACCCACCAGATCAACGTGGAGCAGTCCATCAGCTTGCTGCTCAACTTCTTGCTAGCGGCCTTTGATCCGTAAGTCTGCCTTTCTTTCTTCCTCTCCTGAAATGATTTTACTTGCTCTGGAAATATCTTTGGAAAACAATTGATCAAGCTCAGTTCTGACCCAAATAATGAGCATGTGAATAGTGGTAACTAGGGAGAGAGCCTAAATTAAGGACCTCTGCTTTCGCTTATGCAGAGCCAAATTCAGCACAACTGTGTTTTCATCCAGTTACTCAGACTTGTTCCAGTTTATATCAAAGAAGAATTATCTACAGAAACAAATTTACATCCACTTCTAATTTGCCATGTTATTTATTGACACACCAGTGGCTGACACAACTGCAATGCCTCTGCAGCAGTGCCATGGGTTAATAGCTCATTATTTTGAAAGAGCTCATTTTCCTGCAAGTTCTTGCATCTGTAAGCAGTTTTTTTTCCCCGGCTCATGCCAGTGCATCATGATTTTGAGACCATGACAGAGATAGGATAAAGACCCGGAGGTGATGAAATTCATGTTGTTTATTACTGCATGGGGCCTATATTACAAAGAGGACAAGTCTGAGGTAGAGCGAGCCACTTATCTTAATGAGTATACTGGGTATACATATTACAGTTTCTGAATACATAGTCATCAACCTGTAGTGCAGTATTTGCCATCCTCAAAACCAAATTACTGGAGATCAGTGTTTAGTCTGACAGATGCTGATGACCTGTGGCCTCTTTATGGCTTGTATTTTCAGTTTTCACCGGCTGAAAACACTGGCCATGACACATTCGAATAAAGGTGCCGCCTTTCTCCTCCTCCCTCTTTCCCATCCTCTCCCTTCATGGCCCCAGTGCTGGGTGTCATTGAGCACCTTTTGGAGCCAGGCCAGCCAGCAGCTCAGTCACCATGGCAACGGGGAGAAAAGTAGATGTTCCACATGAGGAGGCTGCACTCAACCTCCCCTCCAGCCCCTCTGAGGGGAAGAAATAGAAACCAACCCATTGTGAAGCCATAGCCTTCAGGAATATTTTTCTCCCTTCAAGGGCAATAAAAGAAGGAACAGGCTATTTATAGCACTGTGGCTGTGACAAGAACACTGAAGGACGATGAAAATGGCCAGATACATGCATGGCTGCATGCTGCAAGCAAACTGCTTCCCAGCTGATAAACACAGCAAAAGACCCAAGACTATGGAAGCAAGACCTGCAATAATGTGCTTGTTTTGTATCTCACTGTAAAGGGGTGAAGATCTCAGCTAGATGTCAAGGCTACTTGCAGCAAAATGGAGGAGAGGAATTTGCTCCCCTGTAGGGAAACAGGGAATGTGCTTAAAGGGGTAAGGTGCTTTCCCTGAAAGCATCCCATGTACTGTCTGCTGTTACCTGTTTCTGGGCTCGCATCAGACCCTCCTAGAGGAGAGGAGGCTGTGACCCTCACTCCATTTGCCAAGCAGCAGCTCAGTCTGTCGTGCACTGCACGCAGGGTGCACAGGATGCACTTCCCAGAAGGACAGAGACACCCAAAGGATCCCCAGGAAGAAGCTCACAGCTCTGGGGTTGAGATAGGGACTGGCTGCTTATCACCCCATCTTGAATGCAGCAAACATCTGGGGTGAGGTTCAGGTGCAGGCTGAAATATCAAAGTTCAGGCTTCATGAAGATATGTGTCAACTAAATCTCTCTTTACTGTAATAGGAGATAGAGATACAGGTTAAGCATCCAATTCTCGATGTGCCCTAACATTTAGTGTGGTTCAGACTGCTAACGTTTTGGTGGTTTATCAACCAGTAGTGGTCCAGATTTCCTTGTTTCTGGGAAACAAAAGAAGTGTGGTGGCTCTGTATATGACAGGAACAGTGTGAGAGGTGCTGGGGTTAACCAGAGGTGATGTCTCTGCTTCCCATGTTGCATCCTTCCCTCCCGTCCCCTGCAGTGCAGCAGAAAGGTCCTTCTCTGAAGGCTACAAGTTGGTAGAAGGAAGAACAAGGTATTATCTTGTGATTCCACACTCAGAGGGAAGCAGTGCGTTGCATATAGGGGGTGGATCTGTGAGGCAGGATGAAGTCTTTTTCTCATTCTCCCCCCATTTATAGAAACTGGACAGTTAAACTAAATTGCCTGTAGTCTTTTCTGATGAAAAAGGGAGGTTACCAACTGAATGAATAATGCTGAAATCATGACAGTTGCCTCTAAAATAATCCTGTTATCTTCGGTCTGCGTTCACTCTACTTCTTGTGTTTTAAGGAAACAGTTGGCCTGCAGAAGCGCTATACAAATTTCTAGGTTGCTACTGAGGAATTAGTTTTCATTTTTATGAATGAATATTAATATGATCACGTTTGAGTCTATGAATGCAGACAACAAAAAACCCTGAAAAAAAACCACCAGAACAGCTTTTAAGACCAGAACAGTTGACCAAGACCAAATACCTGTTCAGTGTAAACAAGAAGGCTGTTCTAAGTGATCAGAGATGTTTTTGGTGTTTGTGACTACACAGAGCCGTAGCTGTTCCTGCTGTTATGTGGGCAGGTCCAGAAAAGGTTGTGCAGTTTCTCATGACCCATTTGAAATGCAAAGAAAGAGAGTGGACAAATGGATTCTCCTACTTAACGTATATGAAAGGACCATGGGGAAAAGTTAGTGTGTAATTTGTAATCTAATAATCCTACCACTGTCTCATTTATTTAGTTCTAATTAAATATATACTGCCCCACGTGTACTGTGTTTTAAACAAAGCTTCTTCCTTCATTTATAGCCTGCTGAAAACCTGTCAGGTTTCTCTCAGGGAGTATTTCCTTAGGCCTGCAACAAATATGTCTTCTCAGGAGCTAGAACCTGACTAGCAAAACTTAAGAGGAACCACAGTGCAATGCCACGGCATGTGGGCCAGCTTGCCCACTGCCTGTGCTGACCTTTCTTCCCAGTTTTTATATGTATTTTTCACAGCCTTGAGGATTCATTAAACTGCTTAATCATGAAGGCAGGAAAAAGTGGGGAAAAATTATAGTGTGTCAGATTTCACATGACACTGGGTGTGATGCTCCTTCACGTTAAGCTAGAACTGAAGTGCAGCCTTATAAAACTGCAAGTCAATGCAGTCAAAATGCACAAACAGAAGTGCTGCTCCAAGTAGTTTGCCATTAAGGTGACATAAAGTCAGCACCATGTGGCAGAGGACCGTGACAACCAGTGAGCAGAATGAGGTGGTCAGACTTTAAACTGAACAAAACCATGCCTGATTTGCATTTTTAACTGCACATTAAAACTGGTCAGTAGCATTTGCTTCAAGGTCTAAAGTGATTAACTGGCTTTATTACATAACAGCATGTTTCCTTCACTGGCACGTGAGTACTATAAAAAGATGACAAGTTCAAACCCCTCTGAAAAATTCATCCCAGGCCAGTGTCAAAGCCAGGGGGCTAGGTGAAGCATCAGCCTCATTCAATCAAGCTGTTCCCAAAAAGACTCTTTCTAAACAGACTGTAAAATATTCTGTGCTACATCATCTTCAGCACTGACTCAGTATTGCAGTACAGCTACTCCTGCTGACTCCTCCTGACAAGAAAACAGATGATTTTTCTCTGTCCTCCTGACAGACCTGTCCCATGAATGGACCTGTGAGATCTAGGCTAGGAAACAGACTCAATTTGGCTGGAGGAGCTTGACTTCCACAAAGAGGAAGTACTCACACCCTTGTTTAATCAAATGCACATTTGAATCATACCGAGTTCAATACATGAAGATGTTCTGTATCTGTTTTGGCAGCATAACTTCTTTCTCACCCATCCATTCAGAGCTGTAAAGTGTTTAATTCCCTCTCTTCTCCACCTTGGCGGATCACTGAAAGCCGCACAGGCCAGGTAGTTTTATGAAGGAAGTCCAGCAAAAAAAATGTATTTCAGAATTTTGGTCATTATGTATTTTGCTCTCCTAAATGAAAGAATTTTGCTTAATTCCAATAAAATTTCCTCTCTGAAACCCATTTGTGAAAATGGGGCTTTGTAATTGCAGCCTTTGACATTTTGGAATTGGCTCCCCTTTATTCAGGTGGGCAGTGGGAGGCCCACAAGTAACTGAAGAAATTTCATTAGTTTCGGAAAAGATAACTTAAAGCATTGGGGGAGCACCATTCATGCATGGTTAGTGAGAAAAATCATATTTTTTTGATGGCCATTTCATGGGACACATTTGCTGTTTCGAAAAATGTGATATTATTTCTCTATAGCTTTCCCCAACATACGGCTGCCTTGGTATGACTGTTGCTACAGATCCTGATACAGTGTCATCCATTTGATATCACTCCTTACTGACCAGGAAGGCAGATTTGGGCCCTGAAGCTGGACTTAGCCTTGTATGGTCTTTGAGTTTTATCAGGTAGTCATGGGGCTTCCTTGCTCTGGGGAGAGCCTGTCTCTCTTTGCAGCCGTGCATTTGAAGAGGAAACCTGATCTGCTCTGGTGTTTAAAAGCATATGTTATTTTTTTGCCCTTTTTTTCCCCAAGTAGCAGGAGATAACCTTAAGCCTTGGTCATCATTCCCTTTCCTGAGTACTCCATCCTGTGTTGTTGCTAAGTGCACATCACCTTCAAGGTTTGCTTTTGCCATCATTTATGCTTCTAGTGCTTTTCTGTAGGGATCTGAAGAGTAACCTCAGTAAGAGAGGTGCTGTAAAAAGTCAAAATATTTTCTGGCCTCTCTTACTTCCACCACTAAAATGTATAACTCTTTGCATTAACCAGCCTAAAGCTTATTTCAGGGAGCACTGACTTTAATAGACATCTTCATGCTGCTGTAAGCCAGTGCTTCAGCATTTGCTTTTACACACCAAACCCAATGGGCCCCAGTGCTGCCAGTCAAGGGCATCTGTGCTGCTTAGATATAGCTTAGGGCACTTCTGGATCCAGATGATATTGGCAAGTCATAAACCCCATTATCTTGTCTGTTCATCAGTCATATATATTTATATATATGTATGTGTATATGTGCGCACACACAGAGACAGATGTATGTATTTGGAGGGCAAATTGAGTTTATACTGGCTCCAGTGATGCTTTTATGAATACGAATGACTGATAAAAAATGCAGTGTCAAAACTAATCAACTCAAATTGAGAGACTGAAGAGATAAATAAAATCTTTTCTTTTTCTATTTGGGTTCCATAACTGTTTGAGTATGGGAAAAGCCAATGGCTCTGGGGTGGAAAGCTGAAGGCCAGTTGATATGTGTCTGCCATTCAAAAATATAATCCTAATAGTAAATGTAACTAAACCTACTGGGAAAAATAATCTAAATCTGAAGCACTTCCACATGGGCTTTATTTTTAACTCTAGTTCTTCTATCACTTCTTAATAACACTGTTGCTTCCACTTAGCATTTGTTTTTCTAAAGTATAGCAACTCTTCTAAAGGCAGGTGAAAGCCTCATGGTGAAACAGTGCAGAAAAGCTCCCAAAGGTCTAAAGGGCAGCACACACAAAAAGAATAAAAGAGACGATATTCTCAGCCATAGCAGTGCTAGGTCCTGGTTTACATGAATTAGAATCCAGTCAACAGAAATACAGAAGACTGGCAATTTGTATACTGTGGTTTTGATCTTATGAAGCCAGTCAAAGAGAACACAATGTAATGAGAAAGAAAATGCGCATGAAAGGCAGCATTAAAGAACATAATAAAGAGTGAATTTATTTCTTTTTGTCTGTATCTCTAGCTGATTTTCTGACAAAAAAACAGAATTTTAAATGAATGTAAAGAATATTTAGAATTAATACTTAGAATCACAGGTTACACTGATGCAGAACTAAATCCAATTCACCAGACTTTAAAGATTATTAGCTAGCCAAGCTTAGGGAACTGAGTCATTTTCTGAAGTCTTGAGTACTCAATGAAGATGGGGTGAAGCATGTAGCATGCTTTAATGTACTAATATGAGTATACCACTAATGGCTATTATGTGCATGTTACTGTATTAGTCTGGTTTGTGGTGAGCAGAGAGAGAAAGTCACAGGCTCTGTGCTTTCCAGAATCAGTTTATATTTTAGTACTGATCTTCTTCATTAGCATTATGAGTGACAATCAACAGAGTAATTTCAGAAACATTGATAAAGAGCTAGATTTCTATATTCTAATGTGTTGCTATTGCCAATGCAGTTTGGCTATCTAAGACAGAATTTTATATATATATATATTACCAGGAAGCATCTTACAAACATAATGTTCCTTGATACAGACTGAAGGTCGCAGAAACTCTACTTCCAAAAAATGACACAAAGCTTTATTATCTGTTCCCATCATTAGCCCTATCAGTAGAATATAGAAGGAGACATGGGTGTCATTTTGCTGAGCTCATAAATACTGGTTGACTGTCTCTTTTTTAAAGCATGATGACGTGTGCTCACTGATGTCATTAAACAGGCATATAAGAGGCTATTAAGTAATGCTAAGGAGATTGGATGACAGACAAAAGTTGCTTCAGTGCAACTGTGAACTTTTACTGCCTTATAGTAAGACTCTGAGAATTCAAAGAAGAAACTTAATTCACCATTTGGATGCCAAAAAAGGGACATTAAAAAGCAGATGAACTTACAAAAGCATGTTCATTCTCATCTTTGTTAAGGGACTGGACATTACAGCATTTTTGTTCTGCCATTCCTGTCAACACTGGACTTAATTTTGCCTAAACTGGGAGGATAGGTGTTTTAAGAGCTAAGAGTGCCTTGCGATGTGTGAAGCCATGTATTTATTACTCACTCAGCTTGAGTATGCCAAGGTTTCTATAATGGCAAGTAATCACTGGGGACTGTTCTGACTGTAGAGGGAGAATGAAGATAGCAAGAGGATCAACACAGTTAAGCCATTGAGTGCTTCAGAACAGTTGAAGGAAGAGTTGGCAGCATGTTAAAGGTGAACAGAGCATCCTAAGAGCACATTGAATGGTCTGACCCTTGCAGGGAATAAAAAAAAAAGTCTTTTATTTTTACCTGAAAGTGACTGGATTTACAGAAAAAAATAGATCTTTTTACCCCAAGGCATACTCCTGTGTGCATTCGACATTGAACAGCATTACACATTTTAAGTTGAAAAGAGAAATCCAGGCATAACCTCAACTTGAAGAAACCGGGGACTCTTCTGTGTATCACAAGAAATGCCCTTTGCTCATTCTGGATGCAGGTATATTCCCCTTCTTAAAGGTTCTTCGGGGTGCAGGTGTATCATTTAAAAAGCAATTGTCAGGCCTTATTAACAGGTTAAATATGCAGCTTGTACAGTCATGTGAGTCCTTTGACTTTTGCTCCTAGTGGTGTTGTTTGCAGTCTTCTAGGGACAAAGATACATAGTGCACTTAGGACAGGGACAGCATGAGTGTGATAGGTGCCTTCCAGTGCTACTGTAGCACAAATAGCAGTAATAATCATCACCTTAGTGTATAATGAGGTAAACAGTTTAACACTGAGCTTCATATACATAATAAATCTGTCCTGAGATCTTTACCAAATAGTGTACTGATGTGTGTTCCCACAAAACAAACTGATTTTAAAGGTCTTATTTCTTTGTACGTCAATCCGCTTACAGTGTGCATTACAATATGTGATGTCAATTATATGCATTTTAAAAGGAAAGAGATCCATATTGTAAAATGGATGTATTAAATATGTCTACTCTTTATTTTTGAACAGGGAAGGACATGGTAAAATTTCTGTTTTTGCTGTCAAAATGGCCTTGGCAACTCTTTGTGGAGGAAAAATCATGGACAAATTAAGATGTAAGTCTTTTGGGTGATGCTTTTTACTTGTTAATCATTGTTGTACTTGGAGAAATAACAGCACAGTTAGGAAAAGAGGGAATTAGGATAAGTTGTAGTTTCATGGCTGGGTTTTGGATTTGCACTGTATATATCTCCAAGTAAATCCTGCTAAGTGTTTGGATGAACTTCACACCAGACTTAATATTTTTGAATCCAAATTGCATATATTGAGGTTCTGATTGGTGGGGTTTAGTTTTTTTCTTTGGGATGATTGAATTCAGAGTACAGGTAAGTGCCTCAAATGTTCAACATCATGGAGCATCATTTAGCAATTTCTTCAGACTTTTTTGATAACATCTCTTTCATTTCACACTTAGAAGTACAATATATTTATGTGCTATTTATATTTTTTCCCATAGCGTATATATTAGTGCCATGTATTTCTGAGAACAGATTCTCATTTCGTGGGATTTATTCCCAATTCCCCAATAGTTAAGGCACAGTTTACTTGTAGCTGCAATGAAAGTCTTTCTGTTTAGTGCTGTGATATCTATAGCTGAAGTCCAGAAAACCATTTTGACTTTTTGAACAAAAGATTGATGTCAGCCTTCAGTTTCCTCTGAGCCCTCTACCACAGCCAAAGAAAACTGGGTTTACAAACTGTTGATTAGACAAGTAAAAATCCCAGATATTAATTTAATCTTCCAGATTTGGTGCCATATTTTAACATATTATTTCTGTGTCAAAACTGAAATACAGACTGGACTTAAATGACAAAGTATAAATTGAACACAGTTCCCTAGGCTCCTTTAAGAACAGGAGTGAAGTCCATCCAGTGAAAAGCTAGAGTACAATGCTGATTTTTCATGTCAGCAGTCCCAGGGTCTTGTTGTCAGAATTTCCTTTCCACGTTCCTTATGAATGAAGTAGCTGACATGACAGCCTGAAAAATGATAAATGTTCCTTAGTCTATGATCCCCTGATAAGCTTAGGATAAGTTTAAAGAAGAGGAAAAGTGAAGGCTGAGAAACATGCATCTCTGCAGTATTTTTACACATGACAAAAAAGAAAAAAATAGAGAAGAATGAAAAGTAGTGCATTTGAAAGACCTTCAGTGCTTTGTGTCTCCAAAACAATAACTGACTTATTTATCTCATTGTCAAGGTTTGGATTTGGCATGGTAAGCTGGCAGTAGGAAAAAAGCTGATATTGCCTATCTTGTCAAATTAGATCCTTTTTATCTGATTAAATTACTGCCTTATGCCATGCATCAGACTTTGCTTAAAAAAATGACCACACACAATGAAAACAAAACAAAACAAAAAAGTAATATTTTAGTATCAAAATCAGCTGCTTTATCTGTAAATTATTCTTTTTGTTTTCTATTGAGAGGGGTTATAATTCAGGATGCAGTAATAGTGGAGGTTTTCATAAGCAGAACATGTTGTTTAGCACTTGTGGTTCAAATGAGATGATACTGAATTCAGACCAGATCTGTAGCTCTCACTGAAGTTGATGTGTCTTTCCCTTGTCTTTTTCCCTTTCAGATATTTTCTCAATGATTTCTGACTCCAGTGGAGTGATGGTTTATGGCAGATACGACATGTTTCTGCGGGAGGTTCTCAAACTGCCCACAGCTGTCTTTGAAGGGCCTTCATTTGGTTATACTGAGCAATCAGCAAAATCCTGTTTCTCACAACAGGTAAATGAAGAGTGAGGATCCTAGACGCAGGATCTCAGTCACCCCTCTGAGCAGGCCAAGACTTTCTTCCTCACTTACATATATGTGCATATTCACCCAGGAAATGCATGGCTGAGTGGAGGGAATGTACACTTTCCTTATCTCTGGCACATAGGTTAGGTGCCTTCAATTGGAAGCTAGTCTCTTATATGTTCCCCATAATCAGAAAGTGATTCAGAGCAGCATCTTAACTTATATGTTCCAAAATTGGCCTGAGGAGACTAACTTCCTAGATTAAGCACCTAAGGTAAATACTTACATTTAGGTGATATAAATACCCCAAGACATGCAAATCCTGTACTTCAGTTACTTGTTATTACTATAAGCACATACAAGACTACATGAGCATATAGTGATATATGACTATATGAGACATATATGAGTATGTATTCTCCACATAAAGCTCAACTCCTGCTGGAAAATCAAACTACGTGTTTTCCAAGTGATGGCGTATACACATAAGAATTTTAGAAGTGAGACCAAAATTGCCTTAAGCCTTTATTGAAAATGGGAGTCAGTAGTGTATTAGAATATCCCTAGTCTCTTACAGATAACATCAGTGAGATAGGGTCTGGAAAGCAATGAATTAATCCTGAAGAAAATACAAGATGTTTTCACAACTAAGCAGACTGTAGGTGCACTGGGTACAGTATGTTGGCTGCACCTAATATCTAGCACTTCAAAAGATCCCATAATTGGGGCTAGTGAAAGAGAGAAAAGAGAGAATTCCTCTGGCTTTTGCCACACATCACACTATATAATTCCATAAATATAAAGTAAGGGAAGACAGTGAAACTGGGAAAATATTAGAAATAAAGTGAAATTTTACTTCTCTTTATCTTTCACTAGCTGAATGCTGATGAATAAATAAGTTGAATTGAGCAGGAATAGTGTCATTTTCATGCAAAATAGTCTAATATTTTGTTTACCCTCAGTTTCATCACTAATCAATAAGTACTCCAGTGAGCTGAAGGGCATTGTTAAAATTCATCTATGTAATCATCTCCTAAATAATTTTAAATGGTAATGTTTGAATATGTGAAACTACTCTTGTTTCACAGAGGAAGTCTTACAACAGCACTTCATCTTATGTTGAAGAATTTACATAGTGAAGTGACTTTTGATAGTTTTATGTTAAAACAATAATAGAGTGCTCTTGCACAGCAAAAGTGCATTCAAGCTTTGCATGTGAAGGAAAAGAAGGTTATCAGGAGTAGTCAACATGGGTTCACCAAGGGGGAATGGAAATCCTGTTGGGCCAATCTGATAGCCTTCTGTGATGGAATGACTGGTTAGGTAGGTGAGGGGAGAGCATTGGATGTTGTCTCCCTTGACTTCACCAAGGATTTTGATGCTGTCTCCTATCACAGCCTCATAAGTAAGCTGAGGAACTGTGGGTTAGATGAGAGGACAGTGAAATTAATTGAGAACGGGATGAATGGCAGAGCTCAGAGGATTGTGATCAGCAGCACAGAGTCTAGTTGGAGGCCTGTAGCTAGCAGTGTTCCCCAGGGATCAGTACTGGGTCCAGTCTTGTTCAACTTATTGATGAGGGCTGAATGAAGGAACTGAGTGTACGCTCAGCAAGTCTGCTGATAACACAGAACTGGGAGGAGTGTCTGATACACGAGGAAGCTGTGCTGCCATTCAGTGAGAGCTGGGCAAGCTAGAGGGTTGGGCAGAGAGAAACCTAATGAAGTGTAGGGTCCTGCACCTGGGTCAGGATAACACCATGCACCAGTACAGGTTAGGGGTTGACCTGCTGGAACAGCTCTGCAGAGAAGGACCTGGTAGTCCTGGAGGACAACACGTTAACCATGAGCCAGCAGTGTGCCCTCATGGCCAAGAAGGCCAGTGGTGTCCTGAGGTGCAATTAAAAAGACTGTGGCCAGCAGGTCAAGCAGGGTGATCATGTCCCCCTCTACTCTGCCCTGGTGAGGCCACATCTGGAGTATGGAGTCTGGTTCTGGGCTCCCAGTTTAGGAAAGACAAGTAGCTACTAGAGAGGGTCCAGCAGAGGGCAATAAAGGTGATTAGGGTACTGGAGCATCTCTCTTAGGAGGAAAGGCTAAGAGAGCTGGGGCTGTTTAGCCTGTAGAAGAGTCAACTGAGAGGGGATTTTATCGATGCATATGGATATGTTATGGGCAATTGTTAAGAGAATGGAGCCAGACTCTTCAGTGGTGCTCAGCAAAAGGATAAGGAGCAATGAACACAAACTGAAACACAAGTTCCATCTGAATATGAGGAAAAACTCCTTTACTTTGAGGGTGGCAGAGCACTGGAACAGGCTGCCCAGATAGGCTGTGGAGTCTCCCTTTCTGGAGATAGTAAAAAATCACCTGGACTCCATCCTGTGCTTTAGCAGGGGGGCTGGACAAGATCATCTCCAGACATCCCTTCCAACCACAACCATTCTGTCAGGGATTCCATGCATGTTGGACATGGTATCATTAAAGATTGTAAAAGCAATTTCTTTTCTTGAAATAGTGTCATTCAGGCCTCATTTTCTGTCTAAGCAGCCATCAGAAATGGCACTTTCATTGACATTGCATCCAGATGAATGGATCAGATGTACTAAGGTACCTTAAGAAACAAAGTCTCCAAACAGGCATCAGGTGGTTTACTTCACTGTCTCCACTTAAAGCTAACACAAGTTAGGTCTCTGACTGATGTAGGTACACAGCAGATTTAGAAAGCTGCTGTTTTGCGTCTCTAGGCAGCCAGGTACTCTTGTAAAACTAGTCTAATATTTCACTTAAATTGACTTTACATAATTCTCGTTACATCCTCAGTAGCAGTGAACCAGAGGTTTGAAATGAGAGTCAACATATCCCTATGGCTCTATGATAAATTATATTTACAGTCGTAGTCACACAGTAGACTGTTCTTCTACTCTCTCTTATTATTTCACTTAGCATTATCAGAAGTTAATACCTTGGGATGAGTTTGGCTGTCTCTCTGTTGTTCTCAGTATGGAACTCACTTTTGCTTACCTTTCAGCCCCCTGGTACATGGCTTCTTCAGTTTAAGGGGAGGAAAAAGATTCTTGGAATGATCTGCTCACAGTGTCAGATCCATTTCAGTTTGCATCTGAAAGGACTTTACCTGTTGCAGAAATATTTTATTATTCCCCATTATACTGGTTTACTTGATCAAACCCTGTATCTTCCTCCATCTCTGAAGCACTGCTAGGTTGAATGGCTGTTCAAAATGGAAACAACAGTGCTTCCTTATCAGCAAATTTATGGAACAGAGTTGCCAGAGCAAGTGAATTAATGTTTCAGAATACAAATCTGTGGCTCAGAAAGGAGTTTCATTGCCACCACTTTTGCCATAGGTAGGATTAATGTGATGTTATGCGGTATTTGTGTTAATATCTGATGTTATTATTGTAAAAAAAAAAACTTATTACTTCTCTTTTTTTATCCCAAACTGAAAAGATAGACACTAACTTCATTTTCTTAGCACTTGGCTAAGTGTTATTCCACAAACGTAGACTCCATCTGCATGTAGCGTATATTTAGAAACAGCTTTCAGTTTCAACTTTCCCAGCAGCTGAAAAAAAACTGCAGGAGGAAAATATGCCTTGTAAAATGTATGGAAATTTCTCTGCTGGTGTCCTTTTAGGGGTATGGTTCTCTCTAATACATAAAATCAGTGACCACCAGCAGGATTCACCCATAAAGCTGTCAGTGAAGCTAAGTTGCTTTACTTGGTGCAGATCAGGATTTAAATTATAGCAGCACTCAAAAGCCTACTGCACTGTGGAAGAGCTGTTCTTGTCTCCCCTCTATTTTTGTATGTTTAGACCGGTTGTGTGTTTGCTGCCAACTTATCCGCCTTCAAGCACAGAGGGAAGACTTAGGGATACTCAGCTCTGCATACGAGTCACCAGAGGACCCTTCTTTTCCTCGACTTCATTCTGCTTTTTCTCCTCCCATTCTCATTTCTGATGCAGACAGCACAGACGTTTGCTGGGGGCATTGGTCAGCAAAGCCAGGACAAATTTCATAGACAGTCTCCAAAACAAAGATCATAGAATCATAGAATCATAGAATAGTTAGGGTTGGAAAGGACCTTAAGATCATCAAGTTCCAATCCCCCTGCCATGGGCAGGGACACTTCACACTAAACCATGTCACCCAAGGCTCTGTCCAACCTGGTCTTGAACACCACCAGAGATGGAGCATTCACAACCTCCCTGGGCAACCCATTTCAGTGCCTCACCACCCTAACAGGAAAGAATTTCTTCCTTATATCCAATCTAAACTTCCCCTGTTTAAGTTTTAACCCGTTACCCCTTGTCCTGTCACTACAGTCCCTAATGAAGAGTCCCTCCCCAGCATCCCTATAGGCCCCCTTCAGATACTGGAAGGTTGCTATGAGGTCTCCACGCAGCCTTCTCTTCTCCAGGCTGAACAGCCCCAACTTCCTCAGCCTGTCTTCATACAGGAGGTGCTCCAGTCCCCTGATCATCCTCGTGGCCCTTCTCTGGACTTGTTCCAACAGTTCCATGTCCTTTTTATGTTGAGGACACCAGAACTGCACACAATACTCCAGGTATTCTTTCCTGTGGGCTGAAGCTTACAGCATAGTATGCCTCTTTGGGAAGCGATTATCCACTCTCCATGGGTGGGATGATCATTCATACAACAAGCAGGTGGTAGCTGTCTAATTGGACTTTCATACTGCAGGTATTGTGGGAAAAGACAGTATTTCAGTGAGATTCAGAGCTCATATTCTGGCTATTTCTGTTCATTAAAGAGTCAAGACCATTTTCACAACTAGCCTGAATATTTTCTCCTGGGACAAATATCTTTATGTATTTCCCAGTATTTTGCAATATTTCTGCCCTAAGACTGTTAGAAAGTGAGGTGTTTTGCATTGATCACTCAGTGTGTAAGAAAAATACTGATTTTCTTTACATCTGGTGGCAATTGTATATAAATACAGCACAGACACTCCATCTGGAAATCTCGGCTCTTAGAAGCATTCTGAAACATACTGAGATGATACATGCCACTGCATAGCTGCTGTTTTGCTTCCTCATGGGGTAGCCACAGTTCTCTAGCAAGTTAAAGCAGTAGCTTATGCAGTAGGATATGGAAATTTAGCAATCCCTTTGGATATAGGGATGCTACTTAAATATGCATGTTTATAAATTACATCGTCACACATTCTCAACAGGGCTCAATATTTTTGCATCTTAATTTTATTTTAAAGGAACGCTCAGTTGCTGATTTCTTAAGGACTCTCTGTCCTTGACAACGCAGTAGGTCTGTACTTTAGTAAACACTTAGGTAATCCATATACTTCATAGGAAAGAGCAGGTATTTACGGTTGAGGTATCTCAGGCCTATAGCTCTGAAAAAACCCAAATGAACTAAGATTTGTGATGACTTTTTCCAGACACCTCAGAAACTTAAGGCCATAGATTACATTTTTAAAATCAACAGGGATATTTTAGAGTTTAAATCTCTTTGAAAGATAAAAGGGATCTTGGAGTGTTTACAGGTGTGGAGTGTTTAGGAACAGTTGCAGTCCCTCCATGTATGCAAATACAACATGCCACAATCAGACCTCACGTATTTAGTTATAGTTTATACTGTAACTTATAGTATAAACTATAAGTTATGCAAGCAAATGCAACATGCCACAATCAGATCTCATGTATTTAGTTATACTTTATACTATAACTACTATAGTTTAGTTATATATTATAGTTGCCATCACTCAACAGACAAGCATAGTTTCTTAAATTACAGTAACACAGTTGCCAGTGATGATCTGTCCTTACCCTATATTTGGTTTGAAATTGTACACCCTTGTCATTATTTTCTTTCATTTTCTTTGTTGGAGAACCATCAGTCATTCTCCTCAGTGACTTTTCATATGAAAATTGGTAGTATATAGTGTTACTCTACATGCGCTTGTACACATTATGTGGTAACTGAAAACACATGAAAACATGAGGAGCTGAATGCCAACCTTATTCAAAAAGCATCTTCAGGCATTGATTTTAGAACACAGTCTTGAAGTGAGTGGGAGCTAGGTGTATCTAACCCATTCATCAGCAATATACATTTTAACTACTAAAAATAGTCCAAAAAAGGTTTGCTGGTACCTCTTGTTCTTTTTAGTAAGCCAGGGCTAGAAGCCCACTCTGTCTGAAACTCCTTCCCAAATGTTTCTGTAAGGACAAGATAAAATCATTTTGATATGTCTAATTACTGATTTTTTTTTTATGTTTATTTGCTTGTTTGAGCAGAAAAAAGTCACATTAAACACTTTCTTGGATACTCTCATGTCTGATCCCCCACCACAGTGTCTAGTGTGGTTACCACTTCTGCATCGACTGGCAAATGTTGAAAATGGTAAGTAAGAGCTGCTGCCAAAAAACAGTTACAAGAATAAACTTCTGTGTGATATTTTTCTCACTCTGTAGATGGTTTTGCAGGAGCTACTGTGCTGGGTGCATTGACTCCATGTGCTCTTCTTACAGTCACTAGTGAAGTATTTTAAGAATCCTGTTGGTCATTCAGCCAGAAATTTGGTTTCATTTCAGGAAATTATCCTGACCATGTCCTCTCCTCCTGTGCTCTGGATAAGCGAAGAGTAATAGGACCTGGTCCATTCACATACCTACATTCGATAAACTGTCAAGGCCACAACTTTTATTAGCTATGACATATGGCAGCAGAGAAGGAACAGCTTGGCAATTTCTGTTCATGCAGTATTCTTGGCAGCAGATGTCCAGTGCAGTGCAAAATACCAGCCAGAAGGTCCTTATGAGGGATCTCCTCCAAAGTCTTCACAGTCAGACAATATATTCTTAAAAGGAAATTCTGGATTTGTCCTTATCCTTTGCTTGTGTGGAAGATGAGGTTTTAACTTGGAGATGCCTCTTGCTCCTCAAGGGTTGTCTTACCCCAAAAGGAGCAGACCACAGATTAGAAGACATGTCCCTGGGCAGTAATATCTTTCTCAGCCTTCCAGCTCCGAGCACCTGAGTAAAAGTTTGCAGACTCATAGATGTAGTCCTCCAGCCAAACCCCTCATACAGTGCTTTTGTAGAAGGTGCTGCCACACTGAAAGTGCAGAGGCAGAGCTAGAAAGCTTGTGCATCTCATCTCGCCTCACTCTGTGCACCACCAAATTGCAGCTCAAAAACTGTGCTGTTTCTCATGTAGTTCTGGAGAAGTTCCCCAGTTCAGATGCAGCCGTCTTTTGCTGTCCAGAAAGATCGGCGCTGACAATATTAAATAGAAAAAAAAAAACCTACCATGAGACAAGAAATGCCGTTTTATTGCTTCATTTATCCCGATATACTTGTTCCTAATGTGGCATTTCTTGCTCATGATCATCAGGATGTAATGTCATTATCCTAACACTTTAAATCTCAGAAAAGAAAGATTTAAAAATGCAGGAAGTCTGTACAAAAAAATTAAACTATTAATTGAGTAAGATAAATAGATTTTTTGTAAGCAATTTCCCAGCCCAGTATTTTGCCTCAGAGGGTGTTATGTAAGGGTCTTTTGTTGTATTCCTGTGTTGTGGCTCCCCTGAAGGTTTACCTCTAGCATAAGTGAAACTCTGGGATGCTGCAGGGAAAAAGCGGGGAGGGGAGCAGGAAGAAGAAAAGACATAAATACTCATCCTGTTAGGCAATAGAAGTATTTATACCATATTTTCAAAGAGAAAATGGGGCTGGTGGAAGGGGAGGTGTGAAGCCATTTTTTGGTGATACAAGGAGGAAGTCATACGTCTTCTTGTACTAAATAAATCCTTCATCACCAACATGGATAATATGATGTTCCTAAGTTCTACCTGGCCACAAAGCCACCTATGTACCCCACCTTCCTCCAGCTCTTGTAATCACATCCCTGTCCCTCACCAGCTTCACCCAGTTTCCCAGGCTAGAGCACTAACCCTTCCTGCTGCAAAATTCTGGCAAGGAATTAAAACCCTGACACATTCAGCACTGATCCAAATCCTCCAGACTGAACCTTATGACAGGAGAGCAGAAGGTGCCTGGGAACAAGGAAATGTTCAGTACCCCGTGGTAAATTGGGTACATGCTGTAAGGAGAGAAGAACTGAAATTGCACTATTGCCAGGAAGGATCTTCAGAATGTCTTGATTGATGCCTTAGTGTACTCAGTGACTTGCATCTTTGTTACTCTCTGCTTCTGAATAGAACAGAGAACAGGACCACATGGGCCCTTTCAATGGCCAGCTTTCCCAGTATGGGCTTCCGAAGCTAAGTGTTCAGCTCCGTATATAGGTAGCTAAATGCTGCCAGTTGTACAGATGAGACAGCAGTAATTATGAGACAGCGAGATGCCTAAGTACACTTCTGTGCTTCCCGTAATTAGACAGATGAGTTTGACTTCTCCAAGGCGCATCGCTTTAGCTCCTCACAGCACAGCAAAACACTCAGCTTCCCCTAGTAATGCAGCTGAAGGGCACAGTGGGTTTTCCCACATACGAATTTCCTCTATCGTGTAATCTGTTCAACACCGAACATATCTGTCACAACTGTGAGCAGGGGGTGCAGGCATCAGCTCAGAAGTGATGAAGGGTTTGGTGCCCAGTGAAGGAAGTGTTGCCTGGGGCTTAGCACAGGTTGCTGGGCAGCTACTCAAGTTTCCACAGATCAAAGCTGTGGGCAGCATCTAGAAACAAAGAAGGGATTCACCCTTCAGTTCACGGCTTTGTCTGTAAAATTTTGCAGGGGGTTTCTCTGCTTTGGTTTATGGCTCAGTGCCTCTTTCTCCTGTGCAGTCTTCCATCCCGTCGAGTGTTCCTACTGCCACAGCGAGAGCATGATGGGGTTTCGCTACCGCTGCCAGCAGTGTCACAATTACCAGCTCTGTCAGGACTGCTTCTGGAGGGGCCATGCCAGCGGTTCCCACAGCAACCAGCACCAAATGAAAGAGTACACGTCATGGGTAAGGGAAGGCTCATGCCTTGCTGCAGACTGCTTTGCCCTCCAGCCAGCAGAGAAGACCCTGGCTGCAGCTCCAGGCAGCCGTCCGGCACATGGAGGCTGGGAGTAGGGCTGCCGATTAGGACTGGCCTCCCTGTCAGGGAGGCTCCAGTCTTGGGAGCCTTCGGGAGAGCACAGAGGTGGGAATGGTATTTTCTGGGTGTGGATCTGGGGCACCTGGGACAGTGTGTGCCGCAGCGAGGGCAGCGCAGGAGGGGCTGGCAGCAGGGCACCAGGCTCACAGCAGCTTCTCCCATTCCCACAGGACTCACGGTAAAAACATCGTTGGCTTGCTCTGTTTGGCTACATGTAAATCAAATGATGAATACTTAATGCTCACTCATCAATGTTTTCAGTTGAGTGGCTGCAGCATATGCGTGGCATTTGGGATGGTCCTAGCACTGTGGATTTGAGCATGGTCATAGGCTTAGATCCATGGTAGTGTTTACTGTACAGAAAAACACACTTCAGTCTTCTTGTTGTTAAACAAAATATTTACGTGCTTTTTCTAAGCTGAAAGAGAAGTTATTGACAGCTACATTCAGCTTCTCTGAAGGGCATCAGACCTGGGGGCTAAGATTCCACAGACTGGAGCAAACTGCTAGCAGAAGCCCCTGGTCAGTGAGCATCCCAATCTTTCAGGGTTCAAATCCAGAGGCAGGCAGAAAAATCCTAACTAATCTCAAATATAACAGAAGTATATTGTTACATAAAAGGAGAATTGTGCATCAAGGGACAACTCACATTTGTGCAGCACTTTGTGTGTACTTTTTAACAAATTTCTGAGGTTTAACTCTTTTATAATGTCTGGCTTTGTGTTAGTGGAGCATGCAAGGGTTAAACTGGCGTGGTTTGCTCTGTATGCAAGTCACACGGCCCTGTGCTTCATCCCAGCAGATCTGGGTCTATAATTGTTTTTGTGGGTCCTAATTGCTACTTGTTGCATAGACATGAATGGCTTGAGTCTAGTCTCTGAATAGGAGAGTTCCCACTCTGTAACTCTGACTCCATTCCTAACAGCAATCTGTGCTATAAAATCCTTTTTTGCTGTAGCCAGGGAGATGTAATTATAGGTAGGAAGTAACTGGAAAACTTAAAATTTCTGCTTAGCAGAAGACAAAAACCTGACTACATGCCTGGTGGTTTCGAACGTTCCTTGTCAGAAACAAATGTTTTACTTCAAGTCTGAAATTGCCTTTCTGTAGTGTTCATTAGCATTTGTTCAAACCTCGTTAGCATTCTCTGTAATGCATCTGTATCAAGCTCCACATGCAGATTAGAGGTGTTCATGGGTGCAGTGGAACTCAACTATTCTCATTTCAGAGAGTGTGAAAGAAAAAGGCTGAACTTTGCATATTTCTGTAATAGAAATATTTCATTTTTATCTTGATCACAGACCTAAATCGGTGCAGGATGTGTGTGCACAAATACAGTACAAGTCGTTTTAGGTTCCAGAAAGAGTTTTAAATTACAGCATGTAGAGCTGTGTTTTGGAGGGAGGAGACAGTGCAAGGATCACTGCCCTGTTTTACTGGCAGAATCACAGAGAGGTGAGCTGGATTCCCTGAAGATCTCTTGCACACCCTAAAAGGCACTTTAGATCTCCAAGCTCTTACGTAGGAAAGCGTTCTAAGTACAAAGAGCATCCAAGCAAAAATAAAAAGCAGAAAATGGTGATTTATTGGGGATTTTTAGACTTGCTGATGGGATTTCCTGGTGAAAAATATGCTTGCTGCACAAAGCCTTACCATCTTTTGTTGACAGTGACAGTACACCAGCCTCTTCTGGAACACTGTCACCGTGGCGGGGCAATGCCCACCATTCATGTGTCTCAAATTTACCACTCCCCAGTGTGACAGGGGCTGCAGCAGTCATGGGAAGTGGAAGAGGAGCTTTATAGCAACAGCTAAACAGTACAGGATGCTGGAGCTGAGGAGGAAAATAGTAGCAAGGAAAGTGAATATAGCAGCCTTGTGCCTTGCCCAGAGCTGGAAAGTAATGGTTCCCGTACAGTGTATCTGCATGGACAGATACACAGATTTGTTCTGCTTGCACTCCCAAGATGGTGAAGTATGAGTCAGATCCAATCCAAGCAACACTGATTTTGTGCTGTCCTTCATTCAATACTACCTGAGTGCAGCATGTCAAAGAAGTCATGGCAACTGCATCTGTCCATATAGATATACTCCCTCCAAGCCTACTCTGAAGGCACCTGAAGGTAAGAGTAATCTTTCCACCAAACTGAGCAGTCTTTGCCTTACCAGACTCTTGGGGTGGGAGGGAGGCAAGGGGGATGTCAGTCAATAGATATGTAAGCTTGTAGAGCTTCCTGTTGTTTTGTGCTTCCTGTAGCAGAAACAGTATGCACCTTACTTGTCCAGATTACCTCTACCTTCCTTGTTCCTCCCAGAAATCACCTGCTAAGAAGCTAACTAATGCACTTAGCAAGTCTTTAAGCTGTGCTTCCAGCCGTGAACCTTTGCACCCAATGTTCCCTGACCAGCCTGAAAAACCTCTAAACCTGGCTCATATTGTGTAAGTATCTGTGTGCTGTAGAAAAAGTAAGCTTTGTTGTAGGAGTTGCTTACAAGTGTAGATACTATAGCTCTGAACAAAATGGGAGGCAGCTGTGGTGTATCAGGCTCAATGCATCACAAGTGCAAATTTGCTGATTGGGGTATTTAGCATAAAAATGTTCTTCTGCTGTGACTTCACTTGAAGAGTCAGTGGGATACATACATACAACCAAATAGTGGGACACAATGTTGGTATGTCCCCATTCTCTTCTAATCCATTCAATTTCGTAGAATTTCAGCACTTTGGGATGTATTCATGCTGAGAACACTGATTTTGTCATCTAGTGACTCGTCTTCAGTGTATCACACATACGTCTTGACATGAGGCACCAGGGTTTTTTTTCTAAAGCATGTGCACTGCCCCTAGTGGCAGTTGCTCAGATTTTCTCATTTATCAATTTGGTTTACTTTTGCTTTCTGGGTTCTTTAAAAAAAAACCACAAACAGTTAAATTTTCCATAGAATTCAGGAAAAATCAAGACATTGATTGGAAGAAAATTACAAAGGAATTGACTTCAAAAAAATGTTCCAAAAATACTGTCTTTAAAGTATTTCTTTTATCCTGATATATTTCTTAAGAAAATACATTTCTTAACCATCTTCCCAGGGGCCCTGACTGAAGCATTTCAGGCGGCATCCATTGAGATTGTATTTGCAGGCTATATATCTGTTTACTGGCTGCTGGAACTATTCCAGTCTGTAATTGCTATACATATTTAGTTTTGACAGTACTGAATGTTTGTATGTAGCATCTTCAAGGGCAGGAGTCCACCTGCCGCTGTGGATTGCACAACACCTGGAAAGTTCATCTAGCCTACTGATATTTTAAGGATAAATCATAGTGATTGTCATTGTGTAGTTATAGCAGAACTTTTTCAAGTCATAAAAGAGTGGCCTGCTCTTCAGACACAAGGTGCCTCTGAGAGATATGTAGTGCCAAATCCTTGTTGCGCTCGATTGTCAGTTAAAATCCCTGCACCTCTTCATAGAGGTGTAGTGGGAGGATGTTCTTTGGAAGAGATCATCCGGAGCTGGATCTGCTGAGCTGTCGCACTGCTGTGTGTGGTATAAAAGGCTGGCTCTGCTGGCAACTCAGTGATAATTTCACAGGGCAGATTTTGGCCATCCTTAAGAGAAATGAGAAGAGACAGGGAGCGTGAAAGAGAAATCTCTGTTCCCTGTTGGCTGCACACCCGTGGGGGCCTGGGAGTATGTCATAAGATAACATTGAAAACTGGGCTACTGTGAATGGATTAAATGCACTTAGGCAAGGCAAGAGGAAGGTACCATAATTGAGTAGGATCTGTTCCAATTCTTTGCTGAGAAATTAACACCTTCCTTTCTTCTTAACTATATAGACATAATTTAGAGCAATTGGATGTGAGAACATCTATTTTGTTTTATGATACAGTTTCTCTATATTCATAGATTGAAGGTGACGTAACTTGGCTATATATATTGGTTATAATGATACATGAGTGGAAAACCTCCAAGTTGTGGAGATAGCATGATCTATAGCATAATTCGCATAAATTAACTGAGGGGAGAGATATGCTACAGCACCTCAGTGAGAATATCTTCTTGCTGATGTGATTTTTTATTTTTAAACATAATGGAAGTTGAGAGAAACAGCTCTGGGCAGGAATCCAAGCAGAAAGGGGTTTATATGTGCATTAAATGGAAGAATTTTGGCAACAAAACAGTATCCTTTTCTTAGCTGCTAGCTTAAATGGGGACAGGTACTTTCTGCATTACTATACAGCATTTCCTTTTCATCGTTCTTCCATCTTGGAGTAGTACCAGACAGAAAGACCTCATGGTTTTTTGTTGTACTGGTGCCACACAGAACTTTCAGTTAATCAAGAAACACATCTAAGGCTTATCTAAAGAAGCAGTTATCAAGGTGTCATTAACCTGATGGAGGTACACCCCCACCAATGAAGGGATCATTTTTCTTTCCTATATGTAAGCTTGGCAACAAAAAATAAGCTCCAGACTGCAGAGACAACAAATGGCAGTGCATCATGGAGGTATTTTTCAAATGCATTCCGCACCAGACTGACTTTGTTTTCACCTAAGGCTTGTGGACACATTATTTTTGACATCAGTATGAAGAGGTTAAATCAGCATAGAGCACTTTGAAAAATGACTCTTACTTAATTTGGTTTATTACTGTGGGTATCTGTTATGCCATAACATGCATTTATTACATAGCATATTTTGATAGTATTGTTTTCTGCCTCCTTGAGGAATATTGATTATCATCAGATTACTTTTATCAGGAAGCTTACTCATTTCCAGAAGTTCAGAAATAGCCTCAGAAAGGTATACATTTATAGTCAATACCTGAATTTTCCTTTGCTTTATCGTAAAGTCTTCTGTTCTTGTCTTATCACATCACACCACTGTAGATGTATGTTCGAAAAGCATGTTTTGAACATCTAATATTCAAGCTGAACCTGAGGAATGTGACTCTGGGTATCAGCCATTATGAAACTGACCTTGGGAAAGCTCAGGTTAGTTTAATACAGGGTTTTTTTCATATAAGAATTGACAAACTAATGTTAATCACCAAATCTTAGTAAAGCTTTGGAGTTTGTAGGCATTTGTACCCAAGAGTAACTCTGCATATATAAACAGATCGATGACCTTTTATGTGTAGAGGCTCTCATGCTTTTTGCAGAATCAGGGTGTTAAGAATGGAGTGTGTCCAATGCACTACTTAGACCACATACATGTTAAACTGACAATTTAATTAATGATCTCTTTTCCATTTCATTTTGGCTGCAAAAGAGATACTTGGTAAGTATTTTTCTTCTTTAGTACACTTATTGGAGGAAGAAGTTTGGAAAAAAATGCAATAATTTCAGTATTACCAATCCTTAACTGGTTTGTCTTTTTTTTCCCCAAAATCCAGAGCTAAATAAATAATGTGTTTGAATACAGAGACAGTGAAAGGGAAGAGCCCTTTGGGGCATTAGGAACTTTTCTCTTCCACCCCTATTTTGAGATTAAAATTAGAGAAGACATTCACCTAAAGTCTGCATATGGTGATCTGCTGAAGTCCATGGGTGCCACATACCCACTTCCTACTCAGCAGAGGTGGACTTGGTGCAAGGCAAAGCAGAGCCCAAGCTCTGCCAAGGGAGCGCTCTTTCTGCCTCCTTCTCTAGAGCAGTGTTGAGAACCAGCCTCTCGTCCCTGCTCTTCTGATCTTTCAGAAAGCTCAGCCTGTTCCAAATTAGTTTTGAACTTGTTCATGGGCCAGCAGTTGCATTGAGAAAAGTAAAAATGCAGTAGTCTCATGTAGCTGCTGCTCCTACGTCAACGACCGCGTTACGGTTCCCAGGCAACGCAATACTGGTTGCTTACCCTTAAAATGAAATTAGTTTCTAAGTATTCTCTTGAAGTTTATTTTCAAATCTCTGCAATTCAAGACTCATTCAACAATGACTTTTCCAGTGGATTGGCTCTGATCGTGACCTCATCCAAGTTATTCCTAGCTCTGATGAAGTCCATGAAAAATAACGTTAAAACACTTCTCCATAAGTACATAGAGGACAAAGTGCTGCTTCTCAAATTTGTGACTAACCAGAACAGGAGTTTTTCAAGTGGGTCTGCAGATGCAGGGTTAGGCTAAAACTGTATTTTCATATAAATAAATAATATGCCAAATCCTACATCGTTCTGTTCCCAGTTTTAAACTTTTTAAAAGCAGTGTGGTGTTGGCATACTGAGAAATCCATTTGGACTTGTCAACGACCACATTTATGCTTATTTTCTAAAAGTTACAAAATACGAAAGAAATCTCAAAGTAATAGTTCACTTCTGTGCAGAGTGGGCTTTCTTACAAATGGTTTGGATGATCCATTGTCTTGCACAATTGGAGCCCATTGAATAGTTGCAGATGACTACTATATTCTGATTTGCACATCTGCAGAATTCAGAAAGCAGGACAGATCTTTCACAGGGCTTAAAAGGGATATTAAACAGCTTGAAATCTGAATTATATATGGCTTTAGGTTCTGCTCATATCTGATTTAAAACCCTGTGATTTTAATAACATATTTTTTAGTTTTATAAGAAATCCATTTAGTTGTATAAGAAATCCATTAAGAAGGGGAAATTCCTCCTTAATGAATACAAAAGGAAAAATTATGCACAGAACATTTTTAAGAGTAGACAATAAAAGAAAGCAGAGGAAATATTCCTTCTCATTTAATTTTTAGTAAGAGCATGAAATAGAGAATGTAATAATAAAATGAGCATTATTAATGGTGATCTTCTGAAACTAGATACTTTCATTAAATTTTGATTTGGGGTTTGATATGCCAGTTGAAAAGCTTTGCAGTTAAACCGGTTTAGTTCTACATGTATTTTATGGGACTCTGAGGGCTATGGATACACTGTGGTCGCTATGTGGATGTGGTAGAATGGAGCTTAATGCCAGAGATGAGGTCATGAAAAGATGTGTAATTTATTGGCAGTTGCCCCCTTCAGACCTCTGTGCTGGCACAGCGAACCTGCTACCGGTGCTCAGCCTAGCTGGTTCAAAGCAGTGACTGCACCCTGTGCTACAGGCTTTGGAAAGGAAAAATAGCATGCTATTATTGTGCCCAAGCAGGGAAAAAAAATCAAGCAAGTTGCTTAAAACTCAGAACACAGAAAATTAATGGTGTGTTTTTATCAACTCCTGCTTAAAAAGACAGCATCTGTCATTTGGAACTATTGCTACTTAAAGCAGAAGATGCAAGCAGTAATGTTACTTTAAACAAGAATCTCATTCAGTTCTCTTTAAATATTGTTGCTGATGTAGGGGGATTTGTGCAAAATTTTGTAACTGGATATTTTGCCTTCTTCCAGGCCCCCCCGACCTGTAACCAGCATGAACGACACACTCTTCTCCCACTCTGTTCCCTCAGGAAGTCCTTTTGCAAACAGAAGGTGAGTTCTTATCCTTCTTTATGTTAAATAATTATACAGCAGTGGTGGAGGTTTCAATTTTCACAAGGTTAGCAGACATGAGCAGAGAAATAAATACCTTGATTATTTTAGACTGATACCCAGATATCTGGATGGAAAGCTACGATTAGGACACCTCAGGCCCCTCACAGCAGAGCACAGAACTTCAGTTCTCATTCAAACCATGATGTCGTGCTAAAATGTGCTCACATGCAATCTAGGCACCCTCCCAAAGGGGATGAAAGTGGGCTGTTGGGGAGAAGCTGTTTTGTAGCAGCGCTGTGGGAATAGGAACTGGGACATGCCATTGCCTATCGGGAATGTCTGCAGCGCACTGCAAGATATATGAACAAAGAGAAAACATGTTCAGACTTCCTAGATATAGCAGGACATCCTTACTCCTGTTAAACTGTTCAGATTTTTATTAAAGATTTAATTAAAGATTTTTATTAAAGAGAAGGAGTAGTCTTGGAATATGGTAACCCTTCGGCAAACAACCCAGAGAAGAGTCATCAGAAACATTAATCCTGAAGAGAAGGCGCTTGCAGCTGACGGTATTGGCTCAGTATTTTGGCTCTACAGCCAAAATGTGTGTGCAGCATTTGCTAGCTTTCTCACCCAATCTATATAAGCCTACCAATGCACACAGATGAGAAGGTGGCGTAAAGATTAACTTACTGCTGTACTGGAGAAGATGAGTGATATGTCTTCCTTGGGTGCATTTTGTTGCTTAGTTCCTGTTGTATGTGTCAGTGCTTCAACATTCCCAAATAACCAAACACAGTCCCTGGATATGCATGGCTACCTGTTTTAACACCAAAACCAAACCCACAGTGCAGCACACTGCAGTGTCAGAGTAAAGATGGTTTACTACTACTTTGATTTAAGAACTTTGTTAATAGTAGCTATAAACTGTAAACTCTCAGTGTTACCTTAGTGCAAGTAGCTGCTGGGTGTGACTTGAGATACTTTTTGAAAGCACCCCCCAAGACCAGGTCTGCTGCCTATACACTATCTCTGACAGTAAGATTGCAAAAGCAAATGTATTTCTGTCATTGGAATAAATGGAATTTTATGTGCAAGGCAGGATAATCAATTTGTGACCTCTCAGGACAGGTCATTAAGAGCAGCGCTCTGTAAGAATATCACTGTTGCTTCCATTTATCCTCAGGAAGTCCCTGTGCTCATTCAACAAAACTGTGCTTTGCCATTTGTGCCAGAGACCCACAGTAATAATCACAGAGCTGTCTACTGTGCTGCTTGTTTTTCTTTACATACGAAAAATTCCTGATTGTTTTGCCTTTGGGTTCTTTAGTAACTGGCTGTCTTTAACTATGAGGATTAAATGTACATGATTCCTGAGCCATTAGAATTCCTTTTCTCCTGAAGAAAGAAATCCTTGATGCAGAATCCCCTGAAAACAGGAGACATTTAACCCCTTCCCCAGCCATAAGTACCCAGACTTCCTTATAAGTGGATAGTGTGACATCCTTATGCAGCAAAAGTTTCCTGATGCAGCACATAATTCTGGCTTTTTTTACAGTTAACAGTACCCTATTATGTAAAGCAATTACATTGCTTGTTTATTAGAAGTTTTGTAACTTTTGCTTCATTGACCTAGCAGGATTTTAAGTGCTTGACAGCTTATTCTCATTATTTTTATTTTCAGCTCTTATAAATTAATTTGCAAGTTTTTATCCAAAAGCAAAAGCATCCTACAAGCTGTCAAGTCAGTATCCTTTCTAAATGGTTGCAAACTGCATTTATTGTGATGAACCCAATCTAAATACACTGCTCTCTGTGTACACTTTTTGAGGTATTAACAAGGTTTCATTGTTTGAATCATTCAGGTTACTTGGGGGTATAAATGCAGCCAGTCCAGTGGCTGATGAGCACTCTCTTATAAAGCAGTATGTAAATCAGCTTCACAACAATTCACGGTCAGTATGAGAGCACTAACTCACTAACTGCTGTTGTTCTGTAGCTCATACACTAAAATCATTAGCGATTCTGCTAAACTACTAAATATATTCTTTAAGGAAGGCTCTGGTGGGCTAGAGGGTTTCTGTAGCTCTAATTAGTCTTTTGAATTGACTTCCTGCTGGCTGTGGGCTTTGCCAACTTCTCTTGCTTTTGCACAGCACAAACCTTTTATTTTACCCTTTCATGTAGGATTAATATTAATGTATCAAGTGGAAGTTGGAAATATCGTTTTTGAAAAGCAAAAAAACTACACCTTTATGGTTTCATCCTGAGTATATGACTTGCCTGCTGCATTCTTGAGAAAGGAGTGAAGGAGGCTTACACTAGAACCTGGAAACGACTCCAGATCTCATAGCCTGCCTCCTTCCATGACTCTCGCTGCTGGTGCTTACTGCTCTGACTTAGCACTGCTTGCCAATATAACCCTCCCTGGACCCCGTTGCTTTGCTTTTCAGAATGGCCACAGAAAAGGCAGATCTAAATTCTACTGAAGCTAATGAAGACTTACCATTTACATAGTGAGAACTGGATTTGGACCAGAGCTTCTTGCAGCACCCTTTTTCCAGCAATCACTCTCATCTTAGTGACCTAAAGGAGGCACCTGTTTCATTCTACATAAAGGAAAGATGCAGTTTGATAAGAATAGTTCCCCCTCTTTTTTTTTTTTTTTTTTGCTGTGGAGTATAATGACCTTTCTTTTTTTCTGTTTTGATTAATCCATAACCGTTAGCTATAACTCAGTAAGAAAGTACTGAGGGCAAGGTACTTCCCTGCTAAATGCCAAGTTCTTCAATCTGTATTAGACTAGTAACAGTATCCGCGTTTTTCTTTTAGGTTTTACTATTATGGTTGCCCTGGGAAAATCAGGCCTCATTAGTGGACGCTCATCCTCTCGTACATCAGAGAAACAGACTTTGACAGCTCTGTTTGCAGTTGTGCTGGTTTTATATTAAATGATCCATGATTCATATTATAATAAAAACTGTACAAACTCGGGGTAAAATTTGTAGCTGAACATAATCAACGCTAAAAGCTCTGCTGGCTGTGTTTTCACTACAGATAACTTACGGTTACTTTAATTTGTGTTGCAATCTAGTCCAGAGGTTTCAGATAGCCTTAAAGAAAATTTTTATGTAATTAGAAAGTTTATTCAAAGGCGAATTGGCACAGACTGTCATCTGTAGCATTCCCAGGGTATTTACTTCAGCTAGTTGTGTTCACCTAAGAACATAATCATTCACAACCAGTTCCTCTCTGCAGCAGCTAATGCTGAATTCATCACAACTCATTTTGCTGCTGCAAATGGATATGGTCTCATAATAACTTCAGCACAATATCATCTTCATTTCTGGATTAATGGGTGGAAAAGGGAAATTAACTGGGAAGAAGAAGAAGAATCTTACTAGAGGAAAGATCTTTAATAGCTAGTAAATACAATGACAGATTATGGGAAACAGCTGAAAGAAAATTCAACATTATGTGTCATTTGCGGTTTAATTGAACCTGAAGGACTGCTTTTAGGTGGGTACACAATTATTCCAAAGCTCAAAGGAGATCAGATTCAGGCTTTCCCTGAGATGCTTCTTAGTTTCTTCAAGGCATTTCAGAATCAATGTCTGCTTAAAATTTATCTGATTGCTTTGCCTAGTTTGAGCCACCAAGTCCATAAGAGCTTTAATGAGGCTGGCATAACATTTATAGGCACCTTTCTTCTAAATATACACAGCAAGTAAACTGGTGTCAACAATATGCTCTGTACAGCTCAGGAACAACTTTAAAGCACTTACATTAGAAAAGAAGAAACAAAAAATCTGTGATATTCTCACAAATAACAAATCACAATCATTTGCTGCAATGACAGCTAGTATGTGATTAAAACCACAAGTCGTATATTTTTTTTTTACTTTAGCTAATATTCAGTTTTTAATCTCAGTTTTGTGATCTCTGATTACGTAGAGGGCAGCAGAATGAGTGAATATCCATGCAGAGTAGGTAATGCCCTTGCAAACCCAATGATACGTCAAAACACGTAAATTGAGCATTACAGAAACTTCTGTCCAGTCAAAAGGAGTAACTATACCCTGATTAATGTTTTCTTCCTTATTCTTTTGTTCCCTAGCTACAGTCTGTGAGTGCTGCCTTAAAGTACATAGCTACCATAGTAATGGATACAATGTCCTTCTTTTTCTTAATAAATGGCTTCTTTAAGCTATTGAATTATAGGGCTAAGGTGGGAAAAGATGAAACAGAATGTTTTTCGTGCATTTTTCTCAGTCCTCCCCCTTTCCCCTCTAGCCCCCAGCCAATACATTTAGTTTGTCTAAAGGAGTAATAAACTGGAATAAATGGTGCGGTTCAGCACATTCTGCTGAACTTGAAATTACTTGTCAATTCTGTGGTAGATAGAAAGAATGCACTATTGGTATCAAATGCCCATATCCAAGGAGAAATTGTCTTATTTAATGCTGAGTCAGAGTAGCTGATAACTTTTTTTGGAACTCCACATAAAAGCTAAAAAGAACTGGATAATCTACCTGGGCATAGCAAGAGGTTAGGCAAGATTTCTGGAAAACAACTAACTTTGGGGCAAAACATACTGGTTGCTGCTGTTGTCCATGTTTCTAAGGACTGTGGTAGACTTGAACTGCATGTTGCCTTTGTTGTTTTCAGAACAAGATAAGAATCCTCCGTATTTCGTCAGCAATATTCTAACTGCTAAAGGAAAGGTTTATATGTTTGATTGTTTAGTAACCAGGTAGACACTTAAGAGGGTGTAACAGTTACACCAATATTGTTAGCTCTAAACCTTTGTAGACATCAGCTCAGAGTTAGAGGTTTTGTGTCTCTATTTGGATGGGCAAGTATTCTTTGGCATCTGACAGATTTTTCCATTTAACAGGAGTATCTCTTTAAATTACATGTTCCAGTTGATAGGACCCAGATAAACTCACTGTGGCCAAAACAATCTCTGAAGATTGTATGTTGAGGAATATGTAGGCAGATGTGGGAGAACAAGGACAAACATCACCTCTTCCAGATGCAGTAAGGTTGAAGGTAGAAGCAGAAACAACTATCAAAGGAATTATACAAGAGACAGCCTAAGCTTGATATCCAAAGATACTGAAATTATGAAAGAATCAGTAAACACCTGGAGGAAAATAAACCAATGAGAAATAACCAGTGTGGATTTGTCAAGAACAGATTATGTCAAACCAGATAAATTTCTTTCACTGACAGGATAGCTGGTCTAGTGGGTATAAAAGAAGCAGCAGATAAGATACAGGTTGACCTTGAAAGGACTTTTCACATAGGCCCAGGTGAGACAGAAGTACCCAAAGGAAATACAGACATGGGGAAATTAGCATAAAAGCATCATTAAGAATCAGTAATTACATTTTCCAGAAGTTTGCTGCTGTACCAGGAGGAGGACATCATCTGGGAGTCTTGAAGGCTATCCTAAGTCAGACAGTACACACCATTTCTTGTAATGATCTAGTGGGAGCCATAGAGTGGGTGTATGCAATTTGTAGATTGTACAAAGGTTAAAATAGTTATGGGAGGGAGTGCTTGGAAAGCAGTTTCTAAATGAAAAAATGAGCTCAACTGAAATACTAGTAATTGATGTCTAAATTATCTGAAATCAGTTAGAGGAAACTCAGTAATTATAAGTGAAAAGAGCTGTAGCAAGGAAGCAAATAATCAAATAAAAGATGGAGCATAATTGGATGGACAAACATTTTAACAGAGAGCCTAGCAGTTGCAGTGAACCACAAACTAATTGAAGTCATCAGTACATCATTATATTGTATCTGACCCTGGGATAACATGTAGAAAGCCATTAAAACTCATTCCTTGGAGGACAAAACATCTGCCTGGAGGTTTGTACCTGGTGTAGGGCAACAGCATGGGGACACATATGCTAACCAGCAGGACAGAGTCTGGAGGAGACAGCAAAGCAGCAGAAAAGCTTAGAAAACATAACTTATAAGAGGTTGGAAGATACAAGTTTGCTTAATCAGCTAGAAACGAAGTGGACTATTGATATGAGTTATTCAGTGGGTGTTTGCTTCCTGTCTCTCCACCCTAACTGTGTTGCTCCCAGAGCACAGAAGAACTTACGGTTGGTGGAGGGGACATAACACTGTGCTGTTAGAAAGCAAAGCACAAAATCTGCCCTGGGGTGGTAACATGTTTACTTTAAGAACGCACTGCTGCATTTTTGGCTGACATGGCACATCTTGTACCCATTGAGCACATTTTCCTTCTGTAACTGAGAAGAAAACATGGATGGAACACATATCCTTCTAGATGGCATTTCAAATTCAAATGAAAAAAGAGGCTTATAATAAGTGGAAGCAAGGACAGGTGGCATGGGAAGCGTACAGGGATGTAGTCCGGGAAGCTAGGAACCAGGTTAGGAAAGCTAAGGCCCAGTTAGAATTAAACTTAGCTAGAGGTATTAAAGATAACAGGAAGGGATTCTACAGGTACATAGCAAATAAAAACAGACTAGGGAGAATGCAGGCCCCCTCAGGAAGCTCTCGGGAGAACTGGCTACACAGGATTTGGAGAAGGCTGAGGTTCTGAATGACTTCTTTGCCTCGGTCTTCACTGGCAAAGGCTCTGACCAAACCACCCAAATCTTGGAAGGCAGTTGCAGGGACTGTGAGAATGAAGACCTTGGGCCCACTGTAGGAGAGGAACTGGTTCGAGACCATCTTAAAAATCTGATCCTGCACAAGTCCATGGGTCCTGATGAAATCCATCCACGGGTCCCGAAGGAGCTGGCAAATGAAGTTGCGAAGCTGCTGGCCATCATATTTGAGAAATCATGGCAGTCAGGTGAAGTTCCTGAAGCTTGGAAAAAGGGAAATATAACCCCCATTTTCAAGAAGGGGAAAATGGATGACCCGGGGAATTACAGACCAGTCAGTGTCAGCTCTGTGCCTGGCAAAATCTTGGAGCAGATTCTCCTGGAAGGCATGCTAAGGCACATGAAAATCAACAAGGTGCTTGGTGACAGCCAGCATGGCTTCACTAAGGGGAAATCCTGCCTGACCAATTTGGTGGCCTTCTATGATGGGGCTACAGAACTGATGGACAGGGGTAGAGCAGTTGACGTCATCTACCTGGACTTGTGCAAAGCATTCGACACTGTCCCACACAACATCCTTGTCTCTAAATTGGAGAGACATCAATTTGATGGATGGACCACTCGGTGGACAAAGAACTGGCTGGAGGCCGCACACAAAGAGTTGTGGTCAATGGCTCAGTGTCCGGCTGGAGACCAGTAACGAGTGGTGTTCCTCAGGGATCGATGTTGGGACCGGTCTTGTTCAACATCTTTGTTGCTGACATGGACAGTGGGATTGAGTGCGCCCTCAGCAAGTTTGCCGATGACACCAAGCTGTGTGGTTTGGTTGATACCCTGGAGGGAAGGAATGCCATCCAGAGGGACCTTGACATGCTTGTGAGGTGGGCTGATGCCAACCTCATGAAGTTTAACCATGCCAAGTGCAAGGTCCTACACCTGGGTTGGAGCAGTCCCAGGCACAGCTACAGGTTGGGCAGAGAAGAGATTCAGAGCAGCCCTGCGGAGAAGGACTTGGGGGTGTTGGCTGATGAGAAAATGAACGTGGGCCGGCTTCAGTGTGCGTTTACAGGCCAGAAAGCCAACCGTATCCTGGGCTGCATCAAAGGCAGCGTGACCAGCAGGTTGAAGGTGGTGATCCTGCCCCTCTACTCTGCTCTTGTGAGACCTCACCTGGAGTATTGTGTGCAGTTCTGGTGTCCTCAACATAAAAAGGACATGAAACTGTTGGAATAAGTCCAGAGAAGGGCCACGAGGATGATCAGGGGACTGGAGCACCTCCCATGTGAAGAGAGGTTGAGGAAGTTGGGGCTGGAGAAGAGAAGGCTGCGTGGAGACCTCATAGCAGCCTTCCAGTATCTGAAGGGGGCCTATAGGGATGCTGGGGAGGGACTCTTCATTAGAGACTGTAGTGATAGGACAAGGGGTAATGGGTTCAAACTTAAACAGGGGAAGTTTAGATTGGATATAAGGAGGAAATTCTTTCCTGTTAGGGTGGTGAGGCACTGGAATGGGTTGCCCAGGGAGGTTGTGAATGCTCCATCCCTGGCAGTGTTCAAGACCAGGTTGGACGAGGCCTTGGGTGATATGATTTAGCGTAAGGTGTCCCTGCCCACGGCAGGGGGGTTGAAACTAGATGATCTTAAGGTCCTTTCCAACCCTAACTATTCTATGGCATGGAGCGTGGTTATCTGTATGGATATTGTTTCAGTGGAAGCACAACACATATAAGTAGCATGCTGATGAGCATGGAAATGTGAAGCAAGCATTTTTCCTTGTTGTGCAGTACAGCATTTCATTCAGCTGTCTGCCAGATTTATCAATAGGGCTTGGGTTCTTAGGGCACCCTGCAGTACCATCCTTTCCAGACCCCTGCTGCCAACCTTGACCTCCCAAAAGGAGGGGAGTGGCACATACCTCGTCTTACTGAATTCCTTCTATATCCTACTATTAAAGGGCTTGATCTTCTTTCCATCAGAGACACATCTGCTCAGGTTTATTATGCATCACATTTGTGCACTGTCATCTGCCTAAACACACACACACCTAGATGCACAGTGCATGCATGATCACACACTCATCTTCTTGATCGATGTACGGTATCAGTAGCCAAACCAAAAAATAAAGGTGACTAGATTTTAAAAAGAAGAAAGTAAAATACATTTTTTGTTTGCTTTGTTGTTTTTCAAACCAAAAGTGCTGCAGCATGAAAGAAAAAGTAACATTTCGATCTCTTCATTTTTAGCCTGTGTTATCTTATTAACGTGGATATTTTCACACTGGGAAAGATGCAGTTACTGCAGTCCATTTAATACTGTAATAAGAGAAAAAAAGTGAGTTTAAGAAACTATTTTTTTTTTAAATCAATACAACAGTACTTCTGAAAATTAAACTGGTGTATCTCATCACTGAATCTAAATAAGCACATTTCCATAGATTATTGAAAATGGCTTATGGCAAATGTTTAGAAAAGCCATTTAACTCTTGTAGTGAAGGATGAAGCTTTCCCTGCTTGAAAGCTGCATTTAAGAAGACATTTATCTTGAACTCCACCTGGAAACTACACAAGCCTTCAGCTCTCCACTTATGAGAGAAGCACATTTTGTTTGTCTTTTCTGTAGTGAAGGCTTTATAGTTTGCTTTTGGGGAACAGGAGGGAAAACTCATAATTGCTGACTTTGCATTTCCGGAAGTTTTCTAAAATTTCTTTGAAGCTTTTATTGTTATGTTTATGTTCAGTCCAGGGCACTTGAATGAGTTTCTCCAAACTCTGTTCTGTAATGAATTTCAGACATCACTTTTACCCTCTTCTTAGTTTTCCTGTCTTATTAACTAGCTCTCCTTCCAAGAATACTGAAGTAGAGCAGAGCAAACTGCTGGCTAGGGCTGCTCCAGCTTTCTTGAAAGGCAAAGGGTAAGTTAAAGAGAGAGTATGTTTGTAGCTTGCACTAACACAGCTAAACCAAAACCTTTTCCTCTATTCCTCCCACTTTTAATGTATTCAGTAAACAAATTGTGATAACTAATTAACCCACTGAGCTAAACAGGGCATGTTTAAATATATTTATGTACACCTGGGTGCACGTCTTGATCAGACACTTCTGAGCAAATCCAGCTTGTGATTTCAGTATGTTAATCATGTGTGCAACATATGTCTATTTAATGTATATATGCAGTAGATAGTATATTAAAGCAAATAGTGCTGACCTCACAATCTGCTGTATTTTGAAATAAATGGTACTGTACAGCCGCAGCCCCTGGCCCAATCTGGCATCTCACTCTGTAATTCTACAGAGGGATTCTACCCTCCTAACCCTTTAAATATTTAACATATGAATAACAATAACAAAATAATTTCTGCACTTTTTTTTTTTTCCTAAGAGCACTTAAATATTCGTTCCTAAATTCCCATTTCACACCCTTACTTGCTCCTGCTTTCTTTGTTTATTTCCCTCTGTCTGTCCGGACTGCACCCTCTCTCCCCTTGCCCCTGTTTCAGGTTACAGTACAGCCTCGATGTTGCAGACAGGTTGGCCGATGAACATGTACTCATCGGGTTGTATGTCAACATGCTGCAGAGCAACCCGGCACGGTTAGTGCAGGTTTGGCACCTTTGGGGAACCCAGGAAAGGGATGTTGGTTGGTCAGATGCTCTCACTGTTTCCTCCTGGATGAAGCAGTTCTTCATGAGCACTAACCTGAAAGGAATACATATGAATATGGGGTATGTCCTCCCAGAGTTGGTGGATTGTGGCAACTGCTATTATTCTCTCTGGTGATGTTAAGCAGCAAGGTAATGCAACTAACTGCTTAGTTAAGAATAGCTATACAGATTGATTTGGGATGCCATGCTCTAGTCAGTGCAGGACTTGATGGTGGTACAGAAATCTTCATACAGCAATGACTAACAAGTCCATGTTTTCAAGGTAATAATTTTTGAGGCGATGCATTATTTGTAGCTTCACCTTATCTTGGAAGAACTAAATGGTAATAGTACTTAAATAATGATAATAGTAATAATAGGAATTTACTTACTAACCTAGTGAAGGAAGGAGTATATTTCAATTTTTATGTCAGGCATTGTTTCTAAATCTGCCTGATTTCTTCATTGTTTGAATCCTGGATGTAAATTTCCTCTTTTCTCATTCAGACTCGGGCATGACAGGTTTTTAAATTAGTATCTTGAACATAGTTGATAGTTTCTGCTGGAGTGAATAAACTAAACCCAGCTGCTTTCCTAGCACTTGCAGATGGTGGCATTGCAGCAGGCCACCCCAGGAAGGGAAAACTCTGTCTTGCGTGTTCATGTGCAACAAAAGTCTAGACTTTGCAAACCTGTACCAGCAAGGTAGTGAGCGGTGCAGTATATGGCCCTAGAAAATGTGGCACTGAACAGAAAACTGTACAGCGTTTCTAACAAAACTATGCTCATGAGGTTTCTGGTTAGATACTGGGAAGAAGTTTTTCACTGTGAGAGTGGCGAGGCACTGGCAGAGGTTGCCCCTAGAAGCTGTGGCTGCCCCATCCCTGGCAGTGTTCAGGGCCAAGTTGTACAGGGCAACTTGGTCTAGTGGATGGTGTCCCTGCCCATAGCAGGGGGCTTGGAACTGAATGAGCTTTAAGTTCTCTTCCAACTCAAACCATTCTATGATTATGTGATTCACCTTTGTTTTCCTATGCTGGTATTGCAGATTATTTTCCAGGTTTGGAGAAACTCTCCATTTACTGTTACATGTAGAAGGCAACAAGCAGCTTCATTTGGGAGGGTGAATGCAGTGATTCTCTGCAGTCTTACAAAATTTGCTTCTGTTTGTAGCCCCAGTTGATAAAAGGGAGTAATTTGCTATGCCCAGTGGAAAAAAAAAGTCTGCCTTCATTGTTCTGGATCTGCTTCTCTACTCTGGAATGTGCCAGTGGGGAAAAGAAGGCAAACTAGTTTTTAGTGAGGAAAATTAAAACCATTTACTCAAACCAAAAACATTTTGAAGGGAAATTTCATTCCTGGAGAAGCACTTCTGGAAATGGGGTTATTTAGTAGTATTTACACCATGGCTCTGAAACAAGCTGTTGGGGATGTGTGTGTAGACCAGTCATTGCCCATCCATGATTGAGGACAGGAGTACACTACCACTTGCTCTAGTTTGGCAGAGAGAAGGAAATGTGGCCCTGTCTACCATGAATGACCTATGTATATATGATTGTTCAAGAGGAAAACAAAGAAGGACATGTAATTTTTGGTGCCAGGCATGGCATTTTGGATGCCATGTCTGTGATTCATTTTGCTTCAGTGAGGATCACCAGTTAGATTCCCTTGAGAGTAGCCTCACCTTTAGCATCTTCATCCTCTGCATTTTATCTAGTATGTTACAACCTGTTCCTTCAAGGTTTTGGGCCAGCCTCACCAAGTCATAGTACCTTTGCATCCAAATATGCATGTACAAATTAGGTGCTACAAGGTCCTTCAAATTTAATGTTTTTGAGGGATGAAAGAAGAGTGACTGATAATGGCCTTAATTGTTTAAATAACTGATGCAAAGTGTAGTATATAATGTGATTATTGGCATTGAGTCGCTGCAGTCACAGCATCCTCAATCTCAGTTATTTATATAAAATACCAATTAGATTTTGACAGAAACATAACCAAGAGGGACAGCAATGTTAATCATGCATCAAACCATACTGCATTGCCATTTTCTGCTTTGTTCTAATGAGATTGCTGGGGAAAGGGAACAGTTATATTCTGGTAAAGACAAGAAGAACAAACAGCGTTGCCATCCTGAAGCTCCCGTGTGAAGCCAGTTTCCAGGAGAGGAGGTGAGGGCTCTGCAGGAGGCTCAGCTGCTTCATCTCATGTAGGCTGGGGTGGCATCTTCAGGCAAAGGTGAACTCCTGTCTGTGCCCTGGAGTGGCTGGATGGAGTTTGTTCAAAACTCACACAGCTGTGTTAGGGTGGTGCCGAGTTGAAGTTATTTCACCCTGCAACTTAGGAAGATTTGGTAACCTGAGTAAAACATTTAGCTAACTATAGTCAGGTAGCTTCTCATTTTGGGGTGGCTGCAGTTAGCCAGCTCAGCTATTGTATCTGCTTGCAAAATACCACGTGTACATACCCATACATGCTGCCACATTACTTTCAAGTGCAACTGGCAGCCGAAGATGAAAAGAGGAATGATTGTAGCTGGACCCTCATCTGCAAGAAAAACCTACAGAAGGACTTTGTGAACATAATACATACCATTATCTGAAGAGCTGTATAGTAATGTTTCAAAATGAGTTGCTTTTTTTTTTTGGATACTGAGCCAGGCTAATTTATAGTAGCTAATGATAAGTCCAGTATAGCCCAGTATACCTTTTTTCTGGTTTAAATGTAGCTAGTATTTATACTGGGGGACGGGGGGGGCTGTTAATTAAGTAATTTTCTCTATTTATCTTCATTTTTCATCTGCATTTATTTGAAACTGCAACTAGGAAGTTTTCCTTTCCATCCCCCGCAGGCTAATAAGCTACTTGAGGGCTTTTTAGAATCCAGTATTTCAGGGAAAATTAAGAAACAAGAGAAAGACTTAATTCATGAATTATAGTAACTGTACGGGTAGTAAAAATATCCCTTAGCTGGATGTTTTGGTTAGTTTCATCATAAAATACATTTTAACATGTAAAACCAATACTTGATACTTAATTTAGTTCTTCTTTCATGTCCGATTCTAAAAAAGAGCTTTTAACTGCAAATAGTTTTCCTTTTTGTTCATATAAGGTAGAGACTTTACCTAGTTTTGAATATTAATTCCACATATTTCAGCCTTTTTCTTTTCAGGTGCAGAAGGACATAAGATAAAATATATTTTAAGTAGGAGGTTATTTTGGTTCCATAGTAAGTTATTTTCTGAATTTATTTATTTTTCTATTACACTGTGGTAAGTCATATTTCTGTGCTGTAAAAGTCCCATACTATTCTATGGTATTAGATTTGGTAAAAAATTGGTAAATTTTTGGTAGAATATTGTAATATTTTGGTAAATAATTTTGGTATATATTGGTAAATAAAATATTGGTAAATATGATAAAAATTTTTATTGAGGGTGTGTTCATAACAGCTAACCCTTGCTAGGAAGGCTGGTCTAATCCTCTCCTGAAAAAGGAAAAGCATTCAGAAACCTGCTGCTACAGAGGAAATGTATAGACACTTGTCTTCCTTGAACAGAGTTAGTTTTCATGATTATACCCATATATCTGAATGTTAATTTGATGGTAAAATCTCGGTGATTCTAAAGGTGTGGCAAATTAACAATAGCAGGGGGGTCAGATGATGTGGCTCAGTTTCAAGTGCCTTAAACCAATCCAATTTTGAAAGTGTCACAGATAATCCTCAGAATACATTTGGTGGGGTGCTGATAGCACATTGTTCTTACAGCCCTGAGGCTTAGAAACCTGCCCTCTAATCTGTCAGTATTCTCTGTAGTAAATTATTTGTTAAGTGAAGGTTTGTAGAATAAGAGCATGTCACAAAGACCACACTGATGTCTCTATTGCAAAAATTCCACAAGAGACTGACATTTCTGAGGCTTTTCTTCCCAGCAGTGATGTAATTTTAAGACCATCAGAGACATCCATATCACCTGTTGCAGGGTGTCTACTGCAGATCAGGCTGATTTGACATATCCAAAGCCTGAGGAATAGCAAAGTATCACCCCTTTGTTCACAGGCTGTCATATTTTTCATCCTCTGCCTGCAGTTCTGAGATCCTTCTTTTATGGATCTCCCTTAGACTGCAGAATATTACATAGATCCACTAAAGCCTAAAAAAGAAGTCTTATTATGCAGGTTATAATATTGGAGTGACAATAATTCTGTCAGACCAATTATTGCTAATAATTTTAAAGTCTTTAAAGAAATAGTGACTAATGGAGAAGCAGTCTTAAAAATGTTAAGTCTTTTAGAAAACAAGCAGCAGCAGGATACTTGTCTGCAAAATGTTCAGTTTCTTTGAAAGGGGCTCCTGAACCATTCTCTTGAGGGTGCCAGGTTCTGCACACATGTTCATAACATTTTGAAGCTTATGTGTATTTCACTGTATCATTGTCCATGAAACTTCTGAAGTAAAACAGAAGTGAATTATGTCATATCAGAACTCTGAGACATAAAAATCTTGGCAGTCAAGGCTAATGCTGCTGTGCATACCTTTGTTCTTAATGTTCACATCAAATAGTTACATTCCAGAACTAAATTTATCTCAGACACTGAAATTTAATTTACAAAGCTTTGGGACCAGTGATTTGTGGCATTCATAGGCAAAATTTGACGTGCTGCTACATCTATTTTATGAGTTCCACCTACACATAAATATATATCAAAGGCATTAAGTAGCAAATAAGAATCAAAATGCTGCAGTGGCTTGGTTCATTCAATAAAGTCATTGTCTCAGGAGCCAACTTGCATCTCAGAACTATGTTACAGATTGTGTTATGCCAGCAAGTGGAACCATAATCCGTTATTTTTCCAGGATGGCTAATATCCGTTGTTTTTCCAGCACATTGCTGTAGAAAGGAGAATTAATGCCGAATGCTTGTTTTCACAGCCATCTGTTAGGATGTGATGTTTTAGTCGTTACGGAAAAACTGAAGATTAAAGTCATGAAAGTAGCCCTTATTACCTGGTTTGCATAATTTGATGTGTCTGCAGGAGTCGCTTGCCCCTTACTTTCTCTGGGTGACATATCAGGACAGTAAGCATGAGTATGTAAGAAGCAGAACTGTATAAATTTAGAAAAATACCTATAGCTTGGGTCTTTCTAGAAAGTAAACTGGTTATCCCACAAGAGTCTGGGTAAGCATAGGATTCAGCTATGTATGTAACAAAATAAATGAAACATAACCGAACCCAAAAATTAGTGTTTGTCTGCCACCAGAAGTCTTATGTCTAGTCTGCAGCTCAAGCTTAGCTTACACAGAACCCCCCAGGGTCTGACTTTTCATAGCTTTACTGTTTTTCTAAACCCCATGTTTGTGGTCTCACAGGTTATTGTCAGAATGAAAAAAAGATGATGTTTGTCTTTTTTTCCGTACCTCAGGAAGCCATAACAAATCCACATGACTCCCAGCTTTATTTTAATGATCAATGAATATCAACCAGTACTCATCTTTCAAACATAACTTCTAAATCCCAGTGGACTTAATCAAGACAACCCAAACATGCACATTATAGTTCCCTCAGGTATCTGGGGATATGAACTCACTGAGAAATTTTGGAGAAATATTCCCTTTTCCTTTTAAAGATGCCAGTTCTTCAAAAGCAGAACTTTTTGCGCAAGCGCTGTTTTCATCTGGAAGTCTTTTGAAGTTCAAGATATAATTTCTGGCAAAACTCAGAGTAAGATGCCCATGCCCAATATAACCCTTGTTTTACACATTGTTCTGAAATGTGAAGCTCATTCACCAGCAACCAGCTGTGTGCCCTGAAGAGCACACGGGTAGGGAGTTATGCATCTGCCTCCCTTCAGCCAAAACATTAAGACAGTTGCCAAGGGTTAAGAAAAGAGGACAGACTTACCTCTGTCTGGGATAGTCTGCAGGCTGTCTTGTATTCCACAGAGCAATGCATTCTTCTCACCTCTTCTTAGAGGCTTCATTGTTCTTCTCTTGTATATACTAAAAGTAATGCACTGCAGGATTCTAACTCCCAGGATTGTCCAGGGTCAACTAAGTCCTCTTCAGATGTCCTTCCTTGGCAGTTTATTAGTTTTGATGGTTCTCTGCAAACTTCTAGATGTTTAGAATTAGTAAAGGTTCTCCACATAGTGCCTTTTTCCTTCTCATCTGACTAAATAATAGCCTTTCAGGGGTTAACCTGAGAGACAAATTTGTCTTTGATATTCTTGGGAGGGGGCTGGGGGGAGAAGTAACAAGTTGCGATATTTTAAAGGATTTCCAAATATTTGCTCTTTAGTTCTTGTGCTTTCTGATCACCATTGTGTGATTCCCTGAAACCTTATTCCCAAATACCAAGGAACCAAGAATAAAAGAGAAGGTCTGATTATAAATTATAGATCAGTGGTTCTAAAGTGTGACAAGTGCCCTGCAAAACTGTCCTGAATACTGTTTTCTGTTGCAAATCTGACAAAGCTACTGAAATTTTTCTCAGCAAACACTGAGGTTCCCGCTAATCCACTGTCCAATCAGTATCACTCTTCTAGGTGGTATGACAAAGCTTATAAGTAAATACAAATGTTGACCAGTGGTCCTAACCACCTCCCACCCCTCTTTGGACAGAGTATCTGTGATTTGCAAACCCTTGCCCAGGATTTGCGGATTGCTGCTGTTTTCCCCTAAAGGAAGGTGCTGCTTAGCACCCAGAGCTGATCCTTCCAGGGAAATCAGCCTCCCACTTCTTCCCTTTGTTCAGTTAACGTCTACCATTGTTAATTTGGCAATATTTTGCTTCTGAATTCTGTAATGAGGGTGTGTGAGTGGACAGCGTTGACACAGCAGTGGCCATTTTTACCGGTGTTAACATGTCTTCCCTCCTTCCCTTCCAACCCTGAGCAGTGTGCTCGACAGCGCAAGCCGCCTGGATGAAGAACATAAGCTGATCGCCAGGTATGCAGCAAGGCTGGCAGCAGAAACTTCTTCATCAGTAAGTGTTTTAATTAAAGGAAGGCTCTTTCCTTCTGTCACGTTCCAGGGGCTTGGCAAGATCAGGGACATTACATCTGACAGTCTTAATGATTAATGGATTATTTTTCCCTAACCTTTTCATCAGGCGCCGTTATGGTTTAGTAATAACACTTTTATGCAGTCCATTTGAACCAAAGAATCCACGTACTAATGCATATAATCTATATACTAATGCAATGGTATTTTAACAATTACAGCAGAGGGAACCTGACATCTTGAACTCATGAAAGACTAGAAAATACAGCCTGGACTAGCTTTGGTTAAAGGTTAATGATTTAGTGCAGCAGAAAAATGGGGTGGTGAATCCATTTTACTTTTTAGTTCAAATATCATGGCCACTAGGGCCCTAAATGCTGAGGATTTTAAAGAATGATCTTCAGCAGGATGACTCTAATGACCCCTTGCATTAGCCCAGGCTCCCATTTTTATTTCAAAGCAATGATTATTCTGTTCTATGTATCCCAAGATACAAGGTGATGACAGGCTAAAACCTTACTAACTATATTCAGGAACAAGAGAGAATGAAGCAGGAACCTAATCGAAGTATATAAAAACTTAAATGGCACAAATAAGGTCAGCCTAGTTACTTTTTTTCCATCTCAGCACATTAGGTAGAACAAGGGACCATAAATGATGGTTAAGTGAAAAGCAGCCAGTCCAGAGTGCTCAGAAGCATATTTTCTCACTGAGATTTACATGGCAGGGTTAACTGAAAGGGCAAAATCAGGCACTGCTCTTGTGTAAAAATTTTGAGTCATGTTCCTTCCAAGTGAAGGCAGTGAAGATGAAGCTGCCACCCCGTGCAGCCATCTGTCATGGAAGATTTCACACTACCCACAGCTGCAGGGGAGGAGAAGGGTGCTCCTGGTCTGCCAGCCCAGCCCAAGTCAATCACTTCCAGAGGTGTGACATAGAGATTTAAATTTAAGGCAATCTGTAGCTGATGGTCCTGTTTCCACAGGACAGTAATTCTTTATGAGAATAAGATTTAACATTATTAATGTCTCTGGGTAGAAACTGATAGAAATCAGTTGTAGATAACATGTCTGTGATATGGGGGAAAATTTAGAAACAATATTTAGGTAGCTTTTAAATACAGCTGGTTTGAAGGAAAGAGACAGAAGGAAAAGAGAAAGTTTCTGTATACAGAAATCTTTTCAAGCATGAGAGTGGCACCACATTAAGAGCACAGTGGAAATTTTTAAAGCTTTGCTGATGGTCATTTTGTTTTTTAAGGAATAAAATGTCTTATGAACTCTGGGCATTCAGGATAGGGATCCTGGTACCCCCTGAATCAGTTGCGACATCCATCCACCAGGGTGAAGCAGTTTTTCTTATTTATGCACTGCTCTGCATCCCTATGGTTGGAAATTTAATGGGAAAATGTAACTGTAGCAGAAAATACAATAAATGGTTACAGGCATAACATCCTGCCCTTTTCTCACAGTCAGTGCTAAAAAGGAACAAAGGTTTGCAATGAGACGTATCTTCATCCTTTTCAAGGGTCCACCTCCTGGAGGAGGAGGTGCCCGGCATCACATAAAATTAGTTAGAGTTACACTTCACAGGGCTTTTATGGTGAGAAACACTCAGATCACAGCAGTAACTTAAAAGAGTGGTTTTTAGTATCTCATCTTTCAGGTTGGAAGTGGAAATAAATGGATATCTTTGGCAGCTGTGAAACTTTAAATGTCTTGGTCTGTGTTCTCATTGGTACAATACTGAAATACAGAAGTGTGAACAAGGAAAATAATACTTGGTTATTTCTGATAAACATGAAAAAAAGAGCATAATCCACGGAAGCTGTAGTGAACATTGCCTGCTTTGGTAAGAAATAGTTTAATTCCCACTTCATTTTATTGAGGGAAAAGGTACTGCTGTAGCTGAATGACTGGAGAAAGAGATTTTCTGAAGTATCAGCAGAGTGTAATAGGAAACCTTGGCCAAAACAGGCCACACAGACAGACTGAAAACTGAATACAGTATTCAAACTAAAACTGTACTTTCAAGAGAACAAAGCGTCACAGCGCTGGAAACGCATCCCTTTCTTTTTGAAGAGAGGCACTAGGTTTTGCTTCAGTGTGTTCCTCTTGTGTGGAATATCAAAATGAACAGACGTATTACAGCAAATGCCTGCAGCAGTGCTGTTGCCTTTAACGATTGGTTCAGAGGAGGCTCCCTGAAGAAGAAGTGAATGACAGGATGGCAAACACTGAGTCTTATTTACTCTAGCACTTACCCTCCTTCTACTAGCAGTGGAGCCATGCTGGTATGAGCACAACATGGATGCTCTTTTATTTTTATTGTAGGCAAGCCTGGTACTGCATTTTCTGTAAGCAGATTTCACAGAACACATCTGTGTTGAGTTTATGGGTGGATGCTGGCTAATCCTCCTTCAATGCAGCCTTCTCTTTTTTACAACAGCAGCAGGGTCAGCAGAGAGGGGCGTCAGATATCTCCTTCACCATTGATGCAAACAAGCAACAAAGGCAGCTGATAGCAGAGCTTGAAAATAAAAACCGGTAAGCATCCACAAAGTACCTGCTTTTGTTCAGGCCCATGTATTGTGCATGTTTGTTTCTTTCTTAACACTTTTTGCCACCTACTTCTTTGCTTATACATGCATATGCACCTCCCCCTACAAAAAGTGCAAGTTATAGAAAAGTCCACAAAATATCACAAAGGCTTTGAAATCCATAGCCACCCTGTGTTTTAATGAGTGTACTATTCATTGTGATACAGTCATTGATGCTTTACTGTTTGCAGCTGCTGTTTGTGAAGAGTTTAAAAAAAAAAAAGCCTGACCTGTTTCAAAACCAGATTAACTTTGAGTTGGATCCTGTGTAGCACTTTAACATGAAATGATAAAAGGATGAGTCACACTGGTAATGTTATGCTCCCCTGCTTTGATTTGTGGAAAAGATGATTAAAGTTCTACAGAGCACAATCGGCCTGGGAAAGGTTTGCAGAAAGGGTAGCAGCAACTTAGGCTGCTGATCAAATGGGAGCTGTGGATGTGACCAAGACTGGGATTATGTCAGGAGAAATAGGCCAGCCGGCCCCAAAAAGGAGTGATGCCATTTGTTAGCAGCAGAGGATCTGGCCCTGGGTGTCAGGCTGCCTGATGCTGTGAAATGTGTGGCAGCAAAGCTCTGCTTTTACTGCTGGACTGTAAAATAGAGGCCAGCCCAGACCAGATGGTTTCCTATTCCAAACACTGCACTACCTTCTGTCACCATGTAATGAGCCACCAGCTCCAGTCTCCATTTGTCTTTCATAGTTCGAGGCTGCCTCCTGACCATCTGCTGTCCAGCACGGTGTGAAGACAAGGCAAAACTCACAAAGGTGTCAACCTGCTGCTGCGAAGCTTTGTATTAGCCTTTTGACAGCTCTCCAGGGCTGCCAAGCCAGTCATAACAAGTCCTGTTAAAGTGCTTCTGCATAAATTGTTGACCACTCTCAAATCTCTACATACACTAAAAGTATTTTTTTAAGAGCTGAGTATTTTATCTGATCCTCAAGAAGGACCTTTAATTTGTTACTTTAATTTGCATACACGGGGTGCTTCAAGTGTTTGTGGGGAAGAACAAGAAAGGAACAATTTCATTAAGCATAGAGCTATTTAATGTCTACCTCTGATTTTTTTGGGGGTCTTGAATCAGTATTTCCCTTTATAGTGAAATCCTAAAAGTTCATTTAAAAAATATCCAGAGCCCTCTTCCACTGCTGGGGGTTTCTTTTGTCGATTGGAGCCGAGTCATCATATCTGTGTTGATGAAGAGCTACATGCACTCATACCTTTTCCCCTCTTGCAGTGTCCGCTGAGCTGGTCTTGTGGAAAATTACTGACTTGTAGTCTTTTGCTTGTTCTCCTCCCCAAGAGAAATCCTACAGGAGATCCAGAGGCTGCGACTTGAACATGAGCAAGCGTCTCAGCCCACACCAGAGAAGGCACAGCAAAATCCCACTCTCCTTGCAGAGCTCCGGCTCCTGAGGTAAGTCCTCAGTGGTAAAACCTCCAGCCATGACTGGGGCCAGCCAGTCATTCTCAATAAGAGAAAAAATGAGAGATAAGCCTGGCTTACTGTTTTGGGCCTTTTTAAAGTAAATAACACAATGCATATTTTTTCCTCCATTTTCAGTGCAGGCTGTAGTCCTAGAAGTAATTAAGCTTATGCTTTAAACAGCATGCATGAGAAATCTCACATATTACTCATCTACATTAAATTAAGCATGTGCATTAATGTTTCCAGAGTTAGGCCCTTAGGTCATTTGGAATAGGTCCCCACAGCCTTGTCCAAGTGCCATTAATTATATGGGGAAAAATGGTGTTCTGTCAGAACAAATGCTTCTACAAAGACTTCTCATTTATGCTAAAGTAAATACAGAGCTACATGAAAATACAGCCAGAATTAGACATTAATTTTTGGAAATTTCCCAAGTGCTGAGCTCTAAGATGAGGTCAGTTCGCTTCACAGTGCAAAACCAGGCTGCAGGAGGATCCTCTTTGTCACGTGGGAAGTAGGGAGTAATGTCATCTGCGGCAGCTGAAGGGGATCATCTCTCCAATTATCCCACCAAACTAAAAACATCAATATGGATGTGTCTGCATGTTAATTAGGATACTTTACATGGATTTACTAATTGCCATGTGTATCACATTAAAGAAGTACAATAGTTATTGGCCCAGATATGTAGGCTCCCTGAAAGTGCTGTGTTGTGAAAGCCAGGCAGAGAAGCCAATAAGAACTATTCAAAACACTTCATGCGAATAGAGAATAGAGTGTAAGCACTTTCTTTCTAGTGAAACAATGCTAAATTAAGTTTTATCCCTGTGCCACTTAGAGCTTGCATGAGGCTAAAGAACATTTTTGGCCACTTAGGTGCACCTCATACAAGTAATATTTTAGTGGTCTGATTCATAACCAAAGGAAATTACAGTAAGAAATTGTGCTGAATTTTTTTCTTTGCAAATACTATATAGTTTTACTATAGAGTTTTCCACACTAAAATATTTTTCACAAATAACTAAATTTGCTTTCCAATCTGAAGACAAATTAGCTTCTTCATTTCTAAGAGATTTTAGTGTGTAATTACTTCTAGAGATCTACAGGCAAGTGACATTCTGTGTGACATGTGAAAGTGACTGTGATGAAAATATGTGCACTGCTTAAGATACACCAATAATGTAGCTCCTGTGCATCAAGCCTAAGGTCTATTTTAATCAGGTTTAGGAGATTAGCTTTCTGTGTAGTTGACAAATAAAATTAATTATCCTTAAAAAAAAGTCAAATGATTGTGCAGCGTTAGCAGACTGGCTACTTAATTATCCCTCTTTGCAGTTTTGCTACACATATTGGGAGCATAATATCCCTATTTGAATTTTGTGACACAGGGTGTCCCTAGAGCAGTGATTCTGTCTTCCTCAATTATGATATCTTCTCTGATTTAATATGGTAGTGTCAGAAAATAACTTATGGTCTGTGGGTCTGTACTGCTTTGCATACCTTCTAAGATGTTCACCATTTGAAAGGCAAAAGATTGTCTTTGATTTACTGTGGAATTTCAGCACTACCTCAAGTTCTTAAACACTTAAGATGTCATGAGGCTGTTGTTATCATGTGTAAAACAGAAGGACTCAGAACAGCAACGCTGATTTACATGTTACCCCACAGACTTTGGGGGCTTGAAGCAATTAGGACAGTTTAGCTCATATAATATTAAGAAACACTGGAATCTGTAAATTATGTTGCAGGTACCTGTCCCAGCACCTCTGACTAGCTGCTGCAGCGTTGCAGTCTCACTGAAACAAGGTTTTGAGTATTCCTTCACATTATCAGTGCTGTCTTGGAGACAGATTGGAAAGCTTATTACTTCCATGAACTTGCTCGGGAGTACAGTGGGAGAAAAAAGTCAGAGGAGCAGTCTGGCTGCTTAGATCCTCTTCCCCCACAGAATGAATCTAAATCCCAGGAGAGGTCTCTGCTAGGGCCTGCCACTTTGAATTACATGGATTAGGTATCTTATTTTTGTTAGCAGTTCTGTAAACTCTGTTGCCTTTGTACAGTTCATAGCATTTGCAACCATTACATGCCTGGAAAAGAAAAGCCAGCACAAGCAGTTTTTGTAGCAGAAAATAGATTAATCCTCCAGAAGAGTAAATACAGCTTTGCAGTGTTACTCTATGATACTATTATATAGGCGAGAGCACACATGAGCAATCCTGTAGAAATCAGTGTTGCTTGTATCAGTATCTGTTCACTTCCAGAGAAGCCTCAAAATTGAGGTTTCATATTTCCCTAAATACAGGAAGTGTACTTAGTCTTGTTGGCTCTGCTGCTTTTCCATTTAGGATTAAATTGTCATATTGGTACAAAGCTAATGAAATAGTGGGTTGGTGTTATTTGCAACACAGTAGTATATAAAATATATCTTAATATGTGATTTTTCAGCAGTAATATTGTTAATTATGTCATAGCTTCCAAGAAGCAACAATTTTATTATGTGCTTATGTGAGAACCTCTCACACAATTCAGTAGTTGAACATGTGTAAGTGCTGAATCCCTGTCCTGTGCAGTGGAGCTGTGCAGAATCAAAGCTGTTCCCGTTTCTGTGGGCACAGACTGGCTGTCACACGTCTAGTGGCTCAGTATTCACGCTATCACAGGACCAGCACCGGACTCCAAGTCCAAAGAGCTATTTTTCAAGCAGTTCTATCTCCAGTATGTGATAGTCTTACTCTTTGCTTTCAGAAAAAGTAATAGAAACAAAAACATATCACTGTGGTTTTCTAGCTGAATTTCTGAACTTTCTTAGTTTCTTTCATATCTTGCTCTGTTCAGTGCCCCTGCTGTAATTTCCTGTCCTTCAGGGCATGCCTTTAATTTCTTCTGACAGCTAGTGAGGTTATTGACTTGAGAGATCCAAAGGCAGAAATTGCCAGGCTTTCCCACAAGGGAATATAACACAGATTTGTTTGATCCTCATTTGTTCTTTGGAGAAGGGTCTGTGTCAGTGTCTATCTTTTTCCTAATCACTATACTCAGTCCCATGAATATTCTCAGTATGAGGGAACTCCCTAGTTTTCATGTAATCCCATTTCTAAGCACTGTGCTGAATTAATACAGTGTGTTTGCTTTCCTGTGGTCTGTAAGCATATACCTCATATTCGGGCTGGGGAAATGATGTAGTTTAAAACTGCTGACACTGTGAGGGGTAAGCTCTGATCAGATCTGCTTGTTTCTCAGACAGCGGAAGGATGAGCTGGAGCAGAGGATGTCTGCTCTCCAGGAAAGCCGGAGGGAGCTAATGGTTCAGTTGGAAGGCCTCATGAAACTGCTGAAGGTAAGCGGCTCCACCTGGTACTACCAAGGAGAGCAGGCAGAGTGAAGCAAGAGAGGAGAGGGAGATATGACCGCCGATTCTGCAGAACTTGACTATTTACAGCAATAAAATTTGCCTTTGTTTCCTTTCCTTTCTGTTTTTTGCCTTGGTCTTTCAATTCAGGGGTTTCAAATGAATCTCAGGTGATGTTGTTCCTGTAGTAACACTGCGTCATCATTGTCACCTGCTAAGTTGATGGAACATTAGAGACAGTCTCTGAAGTATTGAAGAATTAATACAATCCTTTAAATAACACTGGAACGTGATACAATGCAATCTTGTTTTGCTCTTTTGTAGAAGGATTTGGCCGCATTTCTGGATTTCAGGCTAGAATCTCTGGATTAACATTCAGCAGTGTCCGAACACAAAATACTTTGTGGTCCAGTTTCAGGTGGTTTTGCAGAAAACACTTCAGTGCTGTATACTATTACCAGTTGACCGTACGGAATTGCTTTTGCTAGTTCCTTTAACTTTGCCCATTCAGTTGCTAGTTGTGTCAGATGGGCAATTTGAGAACCACATGTAACTCTCCGATCTTAGAGATGCTTCCCCAGCAGCACTTGGTCATTTTCATAAATAGAGAAACAAGGGTTAAACAAATGAAACAAAGGATCTCAGTTAAAAATGAAGATATCAAAAAGCATGTGCATTTTAAGACAGACAAGGGCAAGATGGAAAATGTGCCTTTATTTGCAGAGTCCAACCCTATTTTATCTGATGTGCCTTAGGACAGGCAATGCTAGAAATTCACATTTCTGTGACATTCTTCTATTCACATAGAAGAAAGTGCTCTGAATAGCACTAGAGCCTGTTTTGTTGTTGCCCAGGCCAGATAAAAAGAGTGCATGGAAATTCAGTGCAACTTGGGTCTGATATGGCTATGATAAAAACAGAAAGCATTTCACTGAAATCCATTTAGCAGCATGGATTTGCATCAAAGGATGATTTTGACATATTCTGTCATTTGCACTTCCTCAGGTGCAGGCTCCTGCACCCACAATGCAGGAACTGATGGCACCTGAGCATCAGAGCCCACTGAGTAGCCGGCAGATTTTTGGGAAGTAGACTGTGAAATGCTGCGGTGCTACAACTAGCAGTTAGGGCTGCCTGCTGTCCACTGCCTGGACAAAGAAAATTTGTAGGGCGTAGGAGGTAATAGTAGTTTTCTGCACGCTTTGCACAGTTCTAGTGTTTCAAAGTATGCAGAGGTCAGACCATAACACAGTCACATATCTTCAACTATCAACAGTACCAACTGTACCTTTATCCCTGTACTCCGAATATGGCTTTGTTTTCTGTTCTTCACTTACATCCTGGCTAATCTCATATGCTGATCCTATTTCCCTTCAGGAAGAAGAATTGAAACAGGTAGTAAGTTACCTCCTTACTGGAGGCCTCACTAACTCCTAAATGTGATTGTGTTCCTGTGATTTGTTACTTCCTTTGCTTGAAATGTGTGTGTGTTCTTTTGACCAAAATTAATAGTTTGCAATTCTTTGACACGTTATTTTCAAGTAGCTTAGAGCAATTTTCACAGTTAAACATCTTAGCCCTTGAGAAAGTGAGTCATGGCTACAAGATGTCTTGATCTTTTTCTCACTCCTCTAAGTAAGAACACGCACAATATGGAAACTACCACCCAACTGTAGTGAAACCAACCTAGAATATGAACTAAAGAACACTTCTACCATAGACAGAGGTTTGAAAATGTAATGAGAATTTTGGAACTTGAAGAGAAACATAACTGAATTTAAATTAGACCAGGGCAATAAGTTTGAAATCCCACTTTGTCCAGAAAATATCAGACACATCTTTTAAAGCAGGTACTGATGCTAACAGTCCCATGAGTCCTCAGGAGAATAATGTAGTTTCTAAACAGCTTCTGCCACCTAGATCAAAAAGGTCAAGTATTTATATTACTAATGGTAAATTGTAGAAAATACAATTGTTTTGGAGCTGTTTTGTATTGAAATGGATCTTGGAAATAGATGAAGCTAAGAAAAAAGCACTTTTGAGACAGCAGCCTGATTTATAAGTCCAATAACAATGTTTCATTTTAATAAAACATGCTTCCTCTCACGTTCAGCAGCAGAAGTACAGCCACAAGTCTGAGGTGTTCTACCTATGGTAGAGCGTGCAGAGGTTGTAGATAATTCTCACCTTCATAAAACTAACATTTTGGCTAAGTTTTGTAGAGCATCGATCTGTTGCACACAAAAATTAAATCTGACCAGACATCACCTCCATGTAAGGGATGTCATTTTTGATTCCTCATTATTAAACAACCTTCCATTCCCAAAAGAAAGTTTCCAACGTGACCAGAGTTTCCCTGTCATATAAAATGTTCACTGAACAGTGTAAGTGAAAGTACATTTTAAATGGAAGCACATTTTCAGGCTGTTATGAGATATGATTTATTTCTTCCAAGAGCAATAGCCTCACTGAATAACAGGTGATGATGCTAAGGAATTACTCTCACAATTTCCATTAAACGATCCCCATTATGCTATGCCATTTCATGATCTGTTGAGAGAAGCAGGATTGAATTAATTTCTGGAGGAATTCAACTGGAATGAGCAGCCTGGCAAGTCATGTAATGCTTATGAACTTTATATTTCTCTACTGCCCTTCCTCAAGAAAGAATAATGAGTTCTTAACATCTGTGTCTTTGATGAGGCTGTGAGACCGGCTTTCCCCATATGTCATCCCAGTTCAGTTCCGGCAGAGGGAGCAATGGACTAAAGCTCCTGTAAAGCTAGTTTTCTTTTCGAGTGTTTTATCCTAAGCATGCATGACACGTGAGTGTGGGAAATCTTTTCCTGTCTAACAAGAGTTAACTTATAATCCATAGGAGGTTGGCTAGGGATGGTGAATTAAATAAAATACATGTAAATTTTCCCTAAAGGCACAAGAACATTGATACCTGCATCCAAATACAACATAAAAGCTGAAGCTCCCCTTTCAGTATGGCTTTTTCCTCAGCGAATGGGGCTGCCAAAGTTTGGGAGCAATTTGGTGCTTAATACCTCTCCTGAGGATACCAAGAAGTTGCTACAGATTATCACAGCAGGTTTCAGGCCATGAGCTCTGGCCTGTGAAAACCACGTTTCTGCTGATAACCAGTAAGTAGGAATCTAATCCTAATAAGCACTCCATTCCCACAAAATTGGGCTGGGGTGGGTCTAGAGTAAAACACAATTAAAATGTTCACCTCTCTGAAATCAGGCATTTTCTAATATCTGCCTGTTTCAACTTGCTGTTCTTCAGTTCTGTCTGATACTGCCCAAACAGCATAAAGAGAAATTTTTTTAAGGGAGAGGGAAGTCCACATGCTTCATCTCCCTGCACTTCCCAAACAGTTGATTCTGACACTGAAAGCTAGAGATAAGAGAGCACTGTTTATCATAAACACAACATCTCAGTCATAGCTGCAAAACAGGCACAGGGTAAGAACTGGTGTGCAGCAGCTTTTACATTTCTCTTGTGGGAAAATTCCAGCAAAGTACTGGCAGGCATCTGTTATTTTTAGTAAATAAAATGCCTGTTCTGAAGTTCATTCCTTTAATGTGACTCGACTATAGGAAGCAAATTTTGTCCTTTTTTTTCCTCATCTTCTCTGAAAGTTTCCACTGTTGGTGTTGCCCAGAACAATAACAGGGATCAGAGGCAGAGGGGAGCCGAGGAAAAAGGGCAAGTGAAAGAGGGAACCAGAAATTCTTTAGCAAATCTGTTTCACAGAGGATGAAACATGTCCTGTCGTAGAATGAAAGGAGATAGCTAGAGATCTTCCCTGATGTGCAGGGGTGCGACCTGCAAGGACCTTGGAGCATCTTCAGATTCCTCCGTGCCCTGCCTCTGGAGAACCAGAGACCTGCATTTCTGCTGTAGTGGGTACAGACAGTTCCAGAAACAGGAGATCATCTGGCCTTTATGTATTTGACTTCTCTTTCATCCATCATTTAAATGTTCTAAAACTGATCATTAAAGAAATTATAAGTATTAAATCCTCCGTTCTCCCATCAGTAATGTGCTTATTCCTCATAAACCTAATTTGCCCTTGATGTCTCTCTGGTGATAATGACTCTTAGAAAGGGGTGATGGGAGAAAAGAACAAATAGCTCAGTATTCTGATACATTATTTATGGTCCAGGGCAGGAATTCATAAAAATCTCAAGGGCAGTGCTGCAGTCCTCCTGCAGTGGGCTGCTATTGTCTTTTTAGAGCACATTTGCCAAGCCATATCAGGGCTGCAGTGGCAGCCACTACAGGAGTCAAAATAAACACCATGGGAAGAGTTAGGAAATCCTCCTGAATCCTCAAAATAAAGCCAAGGTGAGGGAAAAACGAGCCCTCAGGTTACTTGTCACTGTGAACATGGGGCATGTGTTGCAGTTCCCATTCAACAGCACTCAAGCTGCCTCCATCCTTGCCATTTACCAAACACTGTCAAAAGCCATGTGCAGTTTGGTGTGGACTCCAGCATCTGTTTTTCCTTATGTGGATGCATGTTCTAAGGGGGTTTGAAACAGTGGGTGAAAGGGGCACTGTGTCTCTTGGTATCACTCACCCAGCTGCATTTGTAAAAGCGACTCTTGTAAAGTCTGCTTGAAATTTCAGCTAAGTGATATTAACTGTAAGGTGCTAACAGCATGATGTTTTATATGACTGGTGTTAAAACATTTTCACTTCCAGCCACTGAACCCACAGCAGGAATTTATAGTGCCCTATCCCCACAGTGTTTTGGGAGTGCGTCAGTAAATCCTGTAGAGCAAACAATTTAATAGTGTATGATATAATAGCAGCTTAAAATAGTCCTCTAGCCCCGAGTAAAAAGCAGAAAGCTATATTATTTATTGTGAGTGTCGGACTTTATGTGACTGAGAGCTTGCATGTACCGTGACCCTCTCCTGCAGGGAGGCAGAGGGCAGGGCTGTGATCAGCTCTCATGGCAGCACTCTGATGAAAGGGGCTGTTTCAGTCCCTTGCCCAGGCTGAAAGCCTCATCAGTGCCAGAATCTTTCCCCTTCTCATAGTCTGAGTGGATTATATTTTATCAAACATGCATGCAGACTGGGGCAGTGAGAGGGAGAAGAGAGCAGAGAGGAGCTCTATACTTTGGTTAACTTGGATTTTTTTTTATTTAGCTGCCTGACATTTTCCCATGCTTAAAGGAAGTCAGATCTTGACTCATATTTTCCTACTTACTGTTTTTCTTCACAGAAGCATTGCTCTCCACTAACAGCTGACTTCCATATATTTCTTTTAGCAAGATTAACATTACCTAACTGATCTGCAAAGAGCATGATGCCTTTGAGCTGAGGGATGGGTGACAAGGGCAGCGGGAGAGGGCTATTGCAAAGACCAGTTTAACCCCTTGTGATTGTTTTTCAGACCCAAGGGGCAGGCTCCCCGCGCTCCTCGCCCAGCCACACAATCAGTCGACCAATTCCAATGCCCATCAGGTCTGCCTCTGCCTGCTCCACCCCAACCCATGCACCTCAGGACTCTCTGACTGGAGTGGGAGGAGATGTGCAGGAAGCCTTTGCACAAAGTAAGTCTCATTAATAGCTTGTCTAGATACTTGGAGACTGTTTGAAGAATCATTATTTCTTGTGAAATATTTCTAAATGAACTGAGCTCCTGAATAGCATGGTATGAATGAAAACAAAGCAAAACAGTTATGCAACAACTGTGGTTTACCATTGAAAATCAACTTCGTCAGCCATCAGATTTTGCTGTCAAAGTGAGCAGGTAAGCAGAAACTGGACAATGATGCCAATTAACAGATTTTGTGGTAAGAGGGAATTTCAGTGCATGATGGCCAGGCCAGTTATCAGCACTCTGTTAACTAAAAGAATTGCTGTTGACTTCAGCAAGGCATTGTCACTATGTTCAGTTTAAAATTAAGACTTTGCAAAGAATAGCTGGTGCAATTATAGGATTAGTTCAGGTGGAAAAGACTCTTGTAAGTCACCATGTCTTCCTGCTCCAAGAATGAGGGCTTCAAAGTGAGATGAGACTGTTCAGGACCTTAACCAGTTGAGTTCTGAATGGCTCTTGGCATGAATTTTCCACAGCCTCTGTTCCAGTGTTTGACCATGCTTAATGTGTAAATTTTTTGTCCTTGTATCTTATTGGAACATCCCTTGATGCAGTTTGTGACTGCTGACCCTTGTCTTTTGCTTTGGGCCTCTGAGAAGGGTCCAGCTAGACCAGACAGAAATTTTATCTGAAGTGTAAGTGAACCTTTCCTTTGCGTTTCCAGAAAACTGCCGCACAGTGTTTTCACTCCTCTTTCCACTCTTTCATCAAGCAACAATAAATTTTAAACTGTTTTGAATTTCTAAGGCCACAGATTAAATAATTATGTTGAGTACTAAAGCACGAAGAAATATTCTCTAATCTGCTCTCTCCTAAAATATTTATATCACTGCAATTCTTTTATTTGAATCTTTTTTTTCCCCTGTTTCCTTAGTACAAATCAAGTTTAAGTGGATCTCTGGAGTTCCTCTGCTGCAGTAGAAGTGTACTTGTTCCCAGGACCCCAGTTCAGCCTTTTCATGCACCCTTCCTCTTGATTTTCGTAGGAATTATGCCTCTGTGCATGTATCTTAAGACAAGGTTCAATCTATAATACAATCAAGAAGTTTCCACTAAAGTGCTAATCAATTCATATATCAAACCAAGGAATATTTCCTAGTCTCAACATAACCGATTGCTGGATATCTCATTTTCTATGGCAAAAGAAATGGGCAAGATACACTTTTCCTCTCTTTGCTGTGAAAAAATTCGAGACAGGCAAACATATGGACCACTAACCCCTATGCTGTTATAGGATAGTTTCTTACAGAGCTGGGAGTAAGAGAAGTAGTGGCCACAATAAAATATCCATAAATAATATTAAGGCTGCCTCAGGCAAATGATTTTAAGTATATAAATGTGTTCTGTTCAAGATAAAAAGCAATATAAAAACGTAAGTGATCACATTTAAAAACTGCTGCATTTGATAAATATCTAGCTTTATGTCATTATTTACCATATTCTCTAGATAGGAAGGTCAAACCCAAGAACTTGAAGCCAGCTGTTCTGTCACATCTTGACATACAATTTTGTGAGAGGAGGTGTGGGCTGAGATTTTACGGCTCCTTTCTGTGCTCCACCATCAGACGTCTGCCTATATGTACATAATGCGGACAGGCCACAGCTAAAGCACAGTTTCTCTTGTGGTTTGGGTTTTTTTCTCTTTCATAGTGTTTGCCATAGTTGAGAGATACACAATTGAGAACACTTTAGAGAGGGAGTGGCTGTCTCCAGTGTTTGTGTGTATAAGAGAGAGATTAACTTCTTTAATTTACATTCCAGTAACCATTTGCTAGTGGAGATAGACATATATATATATATATATATATATATATATATATAAATCTCTTTAGGATGTGGGGAAGTTTTTTAAATGTATTGGTTTGCATTCAGCAAGTTTTAAAGAATCTACAGCAGTCAAATCCTGACAATTCCTGTGAATAATCCGGTTTGAAAGATTATAGATTCTGTGGGATATATTGGTTATTCAGCTACAATAGGAGCTACGTTTGGGATTTGGGAGAATTAAGCAAGCATTACCCACAGTCTGCTCCTAGGGAAGGAGTATTTCATGCAGCTCACAAGAATCTTTCATGATTGATGGTTAAGGGAATATTGCCAGGTTCAGCAGGGAAGCACTTCTAGATCCATTATTAGAAAGAGTTTAAAAGCAGCCTGAGGCTGTTTAGAGAGTCAGTAGTGCTCCCCTTATTAAAATAAAAAAAAGGAGAGACAGTAAATTATGGAATGGAATATACAAGAAACTCCTTGAGCTACAGGAGAGGCTGAGAGGGAGTGGAGAAGAAAAGTCCATCTCAGTCTCAATGAGGTCAAGTATGTTTCTTCAACATTTGCCATAATTATCTGGCAAATACCTGGCAATAATGGTGTCATTAAACAGAGCTGTGGGAACTTAGAGAAAACACTTAATTTCTTCCCTCCTGCACAGACATTGTCAATGAGTTCACACTGGATTTAATCTTCCAGGCCTGCTCTGCTGGTGTCACCCCACAAATGAAAGCTTGATGGCAGTGAATAATCTCCACATATCTGGCATTGTGATTAAATGAAGCATGAGGGTAGGCTTCTGCTCTTGCATACAGCATAAGTAAATGAGGCTGTTCTGCAGAGAATTCTTCTGCACGTGTCCCTCGTAAGGACTTTGATACTCTGAGTTATCACAATGGCAGCTTTCAACAGGGTTAAAACTGCTTTCAACAGGAAAACATATGTCTTGTGAAGAATAGTAACGCTGTGCTTTGTCTCTTGCTTCAGGTGCAAGAAGAAACTTAAGAAATGATTTGCTGGTGGCAGCAGATTCAATCACCAACACCATGTCTTCTTTGGTAAAAGAACTAAATTCTGGTGAGTGAGGCTAACACGGGTGGATAGTCACCACATTGTCATTTCACATCTATTTGAAAAAGTGGGAGGCAGGAAAATACAAACCAGCAAAAAAGCAGTATGATGTTATCTTCAAAGCTTTTTATGCTTTTAGAAAAAAAAACAGCTAAATATCAGCTTCAGGAATACAGCAGATCTGAAAGCTATGGGCAGAGAGGTGCAGCTGGGTACACTGAAAACTTCTGAGAAGTTTGTTTGTGATTCCACATGGAGTGGGATTTTACTCTTTAGAAATTCATTTAGTATAGAACACATAGGACCTGTTGTAAAATGTTGTCTGTGGTATTCTCATTAAAATATCCTACCTAATAACCAAGGTAAGCAAAGGCTTCACTACTCTGTCTTACCAAAAGAAGAAAACTATTAGCTCTGTAGATATGTGTAGAATAATATATGTTACTCACTATGAGGTGGCAGAACTCAAAGTTGGAAAGACAGAGAAATCCTTAGAGGATCAGCCAAGTATACACACTGTTGTGAAAGTTAAATGGAAGCATGTGTCACCTTTCACTTCATAGAAGTGGGCAGCGAGACAGAAAGCAATGTGGATTCCGAATTTGGACGGACTCATTTTGATGACCTTGTTCCATCCCCAACGTCTGAGAAGGCTTTCCTTGCACAGATCCATGCCCGGAAGCCAGGGTACATCCACAGTGCTGCTGCCACCGGCTCCCTCCGCAGTGACATGTGGGTACCTGCTCAATTTGCCTTCTTAATCTCATTCTTTATATGTTGAAAACAGTGTTTCCTCTCCTTCTTAACTGATTGCCACCAAAAACTGCCTGCATCCAAGTAAGAACAGCTTCATGGTTAGATAGTAATGAGCACTGTAAACAATAAAGGCCAGAACTAAGCAGCATGGAGGCTGTGGGACAGCTGTGCTCTCTCTTATGCCCTGCAGTCCTGTTCCCTTCTTATCCAGACTAAGGGGCCTGTTGGAGGCTGCTGGAAAAAAAGAAGTTTTTAAATGAAAAAGACAGAATGCTTTTTATTGACCAGCTCAATTGACTTACAAGCCAATTTATTTTTAGAACCTGAATCTTCTTATCAAAGACAATAGGCATTTTTCCAGTTATTTTTAGTTCAACCTCTTTGTACCAAGTTATTGAGAACTTTTGTTACGCAGTTCTGTAGAGCTGTACCCCCAAAATACCTTCAGCAGAGTATATCCTTTTGTCTATTTCATCAATATCAGAGCACTGGAGAGAAGAAATAGGTGAGGTGTTTTCCAGTGCTAGGAAAATACTAGCCAATGGAGCATGTGTTGGTGTAAAAGCATCCCACTCCTCATAGTTACAATAAAGGGAAGTGTTATTGACTCGGAATGTCACTCTTCTCAGGAGGCTATTTATTGGTAATTTTCTTTAGGGTTACAGAAGATGGAGACCCCTATGTCAGAGCAGATGATGAAAATTATGAGAATGACTCTGTCCGTCAGCTGGAGAATGAACTGAAAATGGAGGAGTACCTGAAGCAGAAGCTGCAGGATGAGGCATACCAGGTGGGAGAAGGACACCAGCTCCATAAGTGAGAAAAAACAGTACACCATAGCTGGCCAGTGCCCTTCTTAACCTGTCATAGTCCCTGCGGCGTGATGTGTTCTCAGTTACTAGAGCAGCCACATTCCAGAACCTGCTATTGTTCTCTTTCACTGACGGGCATGCATCTAACCTTTGTGCATATCTTGGAAGACCACACTGCCTGAGGCACACAGCAGTAGTCCTTAGGGCATCAGGTGGGACAGAATTGTCTCTGGTGGTGTCAAGCTGAGTTCTTGCTATATTTAGATTACTTTTTTTTCTCCTGTAGTTAAAAACATTCAGAATGGCTTCTCCAGCATGAACTGCAGCTCAAGTACAATCTGTGTGTTATTGTCATTGCCGGAATCTGAAATGAGAGGGGAGGGTTTGAAATTAGTTGTATCCCAGAGAACTGAGTATTCAAAAAGCATCCCGTATAGGGAAGTCTGGGGATTTGTCATTAAACACCCCCTAAGAAGATTTTCAAAGGGCATCTGTTCAGAAGTGTGAGTAAAACAAATTTGCAGGTGAAGCTGGAATTCTTGTAGACATCCTGTCCTGTCTGCGTAATGCTCTCTAATTCTACCTGGTGTAATGGACTATCACCAGTTTTTAGGCTATTCTGACTGCGAACATCCTAATGTGAAATGTATTCTTATAATGTTGGTAGTAATGTCAGTAGGAGGGCACACTCAGTTCAGTTATTTGGGAGCAGAGCTGAAGCAAGCAAAATTAACTATTTTCCCGCATGGTGACCAGTTAAATTTGGAACTCATCATTACAGAACATAACAGAGATGAAAAGTATAAATGGTCTAAAAAGAAAGGATTAAGCAGGTACTGATAGATGACGTGTATGGAAATGAGGTTCAAAAACACTTGGGCAAAAATTCTTTAAACTGCTGTTTGCTGGGAGCTAACAAAATCTGGCCTTTTTTTCAGGTAGTTTTCTCTAGCATCTACTGCCAGTCACTTTGGAGACAAGAATCTGGGACTGACAGGCTCGTGATCTAATGAAGAATGGCTGCTCTTTTGGTCTTCTTTTCTGTAAAGCTGCTAGGATAAGTTCATTGACTCAAACCAAAATTGCAGATAGTTTGGAGGCTGATGTGAGCATCTGCGGTTTTCTGTTGTTTACCTAGGTGTGCTACATACATGCCTATGGTACCCTGCCAAAAGGCATTCCATTGCAAAGGTCTTTAAGGACATGACAACAGGAGCAGAATTGCTACAGACTATGTCTTAAAGCAACAGTGGGTGACATGGATTTTTTTTGTTCACAATTTTTAATCCAGGATAGGAGATGGCAAAAATGACAGCCTTTAAACTTCTGAACAGGATGAGCAGCTACTGCTGATGTAATGGAATGTAACTGTAGTTATAAAGAAGGCGTACCTCAATAGTGACAGCTGTCAAGCATCAAAGAATAAATATTACTATTGCTGGTTAAAATTCCATATTATCCTGAAAGAGCAATAGACCAATTTTGACTGCACTTTGATTACAGTATGGAAGTGCAATATATGGCAACAGTGCTACGTGAGCTTCACAAGTTACAACGGGATTTTGTTCTTGCACAAAGTTGGGTACCCATGTGCACTGGAAAATAAGGTCATTCGTTGTGCAGGATAAGTTATACATGTTGCTCAATAGAACCGGGTGTTACTGTCACTTCAGTCAAGACAGAGCTTTTCTACTGTCTTCCAACAGTATTCCCAGAACAAGGGGAGGAAATCTCCCTATTGATGTGACAATAAAACTCCTTTTCAATTCAGGTCAGCCAAAGCTAGACTCAGGTGAACTTTGTTCCCTATTGTTTTACACCATTTGTTTCCACTGGGAGGAGAGAGCGAAAGAAAAGAACAAACAGAAAAAGCGAAAGGCTTTTTTTCTTTCACAGATGTATTCCCTGAGGGAACAGAAACTCCTCATTCTAGGCAAGTTCTGCTTAATAACATTTTTCCAAAGGAAATTTTATGATGTACTTTACTGTCTGTAAAATTGTCAGCCCCTCTCAGGCAATGATTTGACCATAGTGACTTGAAAGTAGAGAGTATTTTTAGTTGATAACCACAGACCCAAAGCATGCAATGCACAAGAAGTCCTTCTCAAATATACTGGGAAGGACTTCTTCCTTCCCTTTTGATTTGCTTTTCACTAGGGAACAGGTTCAGAGGAAGCAAGAAGAGGTACTAAGTTAGTAGGGACCGCTAGGATAATGAGATTGGCACATTGATCCTAAGATAGTGCTTTTGCTTTGACTCCTTCTCTGCACTTTGCACTTAATTTGTGGTATTTTGCTGTTCTCTTCCTTTTTCTACTAGCATCACTGAGTAGTCTCTGGAGATAAGGACACAACTATCTACTTGTAAACACAAAGGCAAAGTGGGAAATCTCTGTTTATGGTATCCTGTTGAAAAGTGGCCAGGTCAACTATTCTAATTTGCGTCAAACCATTGGAATTTATTACAGGCTATTTTGCTGTTTGTACTCACATGTACACTGCATTCATCTGGATAGCCAAAAAAAGCTGGTGGCTGTAGCTATCATAATGCAACTGTCAGCTGAAAAAATCGGCAAGGAAAAACTCCTACTAAGGTTACAGAATGGTAACCTCAGTAACAATATGGTAACCATTTTTGTGTTATTAAATGTCTCACTTTGTGTAAAAACAGCACATTTAGAAAAACATGTAGATGTAGTGTAGCATGGAAGATGGTTGGTCAAAACCCACTCTTGTTATTTTGTGTCACCTTGTATCCAAACAAGATTTTCATGCTAAACTCTAACTTAGTATTAAAGTATGAGTGGAAAACCCAAAATACGTAAGGAAATCTGGGACAGGGAACCTCAAAGGAGGCTTCTTTCCTTCTCTTTTTTGAAAGCACGTTGTAAATAACAAGTATCTGTACTGGAAGAAAACCACATTCAGCGCACAAGTGTAAATGCTAACAGTGCTTATCCTCCCACATCTGCTACCAGTTGTGTTCATGTTACAGTCTTCTGCTGGATGTGCTGTGTAAGACACTTTTCATTGGGTTTATTTTCTGGGTCCATAATTGCTCCCTTTATTTCTAGGCTTGTGCATGGCTTTCTTCAGAATAATACACTGCCTGGCTGCTCACTGGCTTAATTTGTCATCTTCTTGTTTTCTATCCTTTGTTATCTACAGGTCAGTTTACAAAGTTGAGTGCAATATCCTTCTCTCTCTCCTCTCAAGTAAGTATCATTATAATTTAGAAGAATGTTTGGAATTAATCCTCATAATGTATTATTTCTGTTGCAGTGCACCTTGTTCTGCAATGCTGTTTCTCACTTCTCTTAACCTGTGCTAGGATGTCCAGTAATCTCTCTAAATCATTTTTATTTTTAATGAAATGTGGTCCTAGTCCTGAGGATTCCTGTTAAGCCATCAACTTTTTATCTTCTTCCTTTGTTGACTCTAAGAGTGAGAAAACAAATTTTTCATCCCTGAGGATATATTAGCCAGTATAGAGAACCTTTATCCAGAAGGTAAGGAATCAGATTACATTTCAGGAAACCTGAGTTAAGTTCCTTACAATGCTGTAGTCTTCCCAGGATAACTGAAATAAGTAATTCCTGATGAGACCAAAACATCTACTCTAGTATGGGAAACAGGAGTGAGGCAAATACTACAGAAAGCAATCCACCAGCTGCTTAGCCATGAAGGTATCTTTAAATGTGTTGTGAGAGTTTAAAATGCACTGATCCAAAGTGCAAGATACTCAGCTATTAGCTAGAGTCTGGCAATTCAGGGATAAGGCAAGAAGGTCTATGAATTCCCTGCTGGTCCATATTCAAGTCATTCTCCTCACACGTGCCAACTTCACAGTTGGCAGCGCTGAGTTTAATGCCAAGTTCAGCAACTGTGTTTTTCTCAGGGAGTCAGACAATGACTATTTTTATGAAGTAGTTTGTTATTCTGAACATTTGCCCAGAAAATGGGAGACCACACATTGCCTTCTTGCCTCATCTGGAGCTATGGACTCTGCATTTCTGACTTCCTAGGAGAGACATTGCCATCCATCCTACTCTAACACTGAACCACAGGATAACAGGACCAGAAAAGAAGAAATCAAAATAGAGGTCTGCCTCTGGTCTGCAAACTGAGTCTCTTCCTCAAAGCCAGAACTAAAGGCAACCAAAGGTCTACTGTCAAACGGACACTTCAAGTTGGGAACATGGTCATGTTGCTAGATTTTGTGTGTCATATTTTATGCTTGACTTCATTATTTATACTGCAGTTTTGATGGCAAAGTTTGACCCTGATTTAAGGGGTTTGCAGCTTCTGATGACAGTAGAATTTGGATGTTAAAGAGTGGATCTTATGAAAGCAGCTGCCAGTCTTGAGTGTTAAAAGCTGTTAGGTATTTCCAAAGCATCTGTCTCAGTGTCTCTGGCAGCTAAAGCAGAATAAATGGATGTGAAAAGCAAATAAACAGCAATACCCAGAGTACTATAAAAACCAAATAACTGCTCATAAAAATTCTTCTAACATTGCCCTTCAGGTTGCATTCATTTTCTCAGTAGCCTTGTTATAAACATGAGCCGTGTAGAGTTTCCTGAACACTGACAGCTGGAAAAGTAAGTTTTCTTCTTCAATTTTATTGCAGTTGTCAGTTATAGGTCACATGAAAAAGAAAATAGATCTTTCAACAACAATGTATGAGCGTATAACTGTATGTAGCAGAAAGGTTATATATAATTGAATGTAATTACAATTATGAAAGGTAATAACATTCAGACAAACCATTTGCAATATTAAGTGGAAAAAATTGTTCCTTTTTTTATTAGGAAGCAGTGTTAAGATAGTGATGTGGGAAAACACATACTGCCGTACAGCCTAGCTTTCTTGGAAGCGTATCCTGTCTCAAATCAGATCTCAGCAGAGATCTGAGACTGAGCTGCTACCTCGTATCCCCAATGCTTTTGAAACCTTTTGAAACTGTCAAGAATAATTTATTTAAGCACTGTGGTCTGGTTAATTTCATAGTGAAACTCTTTTTGGCTCCCGTGGGAGCCCTTCAGTCAGTAGCAAAGACTGAAACATCCCCCACCAGGTATAAAAATCTGGCCCTATAGAAACTAACAGCAAAAACTGGTGAACTCAGCGTTTCACCTGTATCCATAAGAACAACACTGTATTATGGTACATCGTGGTAAACGCATCTACACGTGATAAGCATGGCTTAGTCTTCTCAAAATTTACTCTCTTGTGACTGTGGAAGGCTATCATATCTTGTGTATTTTATTCAGTACTAGTATTTCATAGCATTGGAAAAATAAACCCAAAATAGTTGATATCTAAAGTGCTTGTGCTGTTTATGTTGGGTTCTTGCTTGAAGCTTAGCAATTACAACAAGACTTTTACTTCTAAGGTAATGTTATTCAATCAGTGATTGTACAAATACAGTCAGAATGGCCCTAGATGGCCGCATGAGGTAGAAAGCCAACAGGCTTTCTCATCTCACAACAGTATTGATTTGTGCTTATTTATAAAAAGATAGGGAAAATGAGATCAGTTTATTGTAGCTTGTTATGAATGATACTGCTGTTGATAGCCAGCCGCAGAGTTTTGTTCATTTCCTCATTCATCAGTCATGGACAAGTAGTGTTGATGTCATTTAATTAAGGGGTTTTGCAGTCTACCTGCATTTTTTAAAGTGTTTTGTACAGTTATGTAGAAATGACTTTGAAATAACATGTAGTATAACAAATTCCTAGGCCAGCAAGTGGTTCCAGTAATATATAAAACATAGTTTAATCACGTTTTCAGTTTACTGTTTATGCTAAATGTACTTTAATACCACTTGTTGGTTTTTTTCATAGACTAACAGTGAATTCGCACTTGTTTCCAGCAGGCTCTAGGCAGATCCTGAAATTAGGTGAACATTTTTTTTAGATATTAGGAAAAAACTCTTCATTATGAGAGTAGTGAGGCCCTGGCACAGGCTGCCCAGAGAAGCTGTGGCTGCCCCATCCCTGGCAGTGTTCAAGGCCAGGTTGGACAGGACCTTGAGCAACCTGGTCTAGTGGAAGGTGTCCCTGCCCATGGCAGAGAGGTTGGAACTAGGTGAGCTTTAAGGTCCCTTCCGAACCAAACCATTCTATGAATTCTATGCAACTGTGACATTATTTTGCCTTTAGCGCTTTGATAGCTGTTGTTTTTTTTCCAAGGATGGCCAGTGGGAGTAGAAAGCCCCATCTCTGAAAGTGGTTAAAAAGTTGTTATTTCCAGTTAAGAGCTGCCGACTCATGCAGTGGACGTGTTCCCATGAGACCTACAATCTCCTACATTTTCTAAAGCAGTGCTTTCTTAGTGCTGGCATAGCAGCATTTTAGTTGGTCATGTCTAATGCATTTAAATGCATTATTATAAGAGAAAAGGAGATGAGAAAAGCTAAATTTCCCCCATGCAGTGCCACCCTCCTCGTGGTTTTTAGTTTTTTCCTTTCACTCACTCAACAAGGCTAGTTCCTCCAGCCTCTTCCTCGCAGGTCAGTGATGCAGTGGTGAAGAACCAGGATGCAGGCACTGGATGAACTGTACACATCCATAAGCCAAATGATTCAGCAACTCATTCTGTTTTGTTTTGTTTTTTTTTTCCTCAACATATACATTAAAAACCAGCATTATGTGGACCATTCCAGTTGAAAATAACAGCAGGCTGACAGCACAACAATATTCAAAAATGTCTGCTACATTCACTCAGCTCTATTTTGGTTTTCTTCTTTTTTTTTCTCCTTAAGTCCTCCTCTTCCTAGCGTGTAGGTGTAAAAAAGAACTGTGACCGAGTTGACTGGGAAGAATCAACTTTAGTTTTGTGAATTTAATTCTGAAATTACATGAGGATTAGGAGGGATGGATTTTGAAAATCCCTGAACGGTAAATAACAGAAAAGTATAAGAACAGAAAAGAACCTGTGAATTAAGACACAAAAAGGTCACGAAACAGTTTTATAACATGACAGATAATACTGAGTCTCAACTTGCAAGTGATTCTAGCATTTCCAAAGTGCTATAGTGAATTTAGAGCTCTGAGGTTCATTAGTACTCATTATTTATTGTATGAAAATCTCTATCCCAGTTCTGGCTGTGAACAGCCTTGAGAGAATTCATGCTCCACTAAGGAGAAGTAATTTATCCAGAAAATTCAAAGTAAACCCAAATACTTAGCAGCACTATCAATGTGTCTTAGTGCATCCAGTGTTTCATAAGCCACTCTGATTTTACTCTCGTGCTTTGCAATGATACCATCAAGAAATACGAGAGGTACCTATATTTACGTAACCCTGAAACTGATTCTTTAAAAATCAGTCTCAGGCAGTTGAGAACTGACCTCTTCCATGCCTTTCATTTGCTCTTTTTTGGCTGAATTGAGAAGAGCGAAATGCGCCTTTATTAAGATTTCTAAATCAGACTTAAGCAGTACAGATGATGGCTGATTTCTAAATAATACTCATTTAAAATGTACCTCAGAATTTTTTTATGAACTTCTCATTAGGCTTGCAGTGCAGGTTTCCTTTCCATTTATCAACAAAATGTTAATGCTATGTCTTCTGTAACTGCCTGACACAAGGAGATATTAAATTAAGATCATCATACCATTTGGCATGCTTAGGTATTAAAGAATTGGATGGAAGCATTTGTGCTTGAATAATTAATACAATCAAATGGTGTCTAGGAAGGAGAAGAAGAAAGAAAAACTACCTGACCTTTCTTCATTCATCAGCTTTAATTTAACTCTATTTTACTGAAGTAATTTGCATTTCATGTCTTGTCAGCTTTATACCTGAAATAAGTAGAAAAGAATTCATGTCAGTGGTGTTTGGGCTTTTGTGCTGCTGTTATCATATCTCATGCAGTGCAGATTGGATTTCTGTCTGAGGTGTTTCAAGAGGAAAAGGATGATGATCTCCTTAACTTTGAAAGGGTCAAGTGTGTAAACAGTACCTTTATGATAAATGTCCAAAAGCAAAAATTTGCCTTATTACCCGACTCTGCTTCCTGACATGGTTCTGAGAAAGAGCATCAATGTTTATCAAGCATTTTCCATTACCAACTAAAAATTTTATGCCTCCAGTACAGGAATTTAAGATACTTACTGATGTTCCAGGGTATGGAGGAGCACCAGGGAGAAACTGGTGCCCCAGCAGGTTAGGCTGATTGTGAGCTGTAACACCCAGAATCATTCTTTTAAGTAACTACATTTCTTTTTAGACACAGTAAAACATACCAATGCATGTAAATCAAAGGAGAGATGTTTACATGTGAGAGGAAGCTCATGATGGTGAGTGACTCTTAACTGAGTGGCTGAACGCTACACACAAGGGGAATAATCCATGAATTCACCACCAGTAATCTGTTTGTAGAGAAAAATGGAAGGGGAAAAAGGGAACATCTGCAAATCTGTGTCAGTGCAGACTGAGTTACCCCAGGTTCCCACAGCAGAGCAGGCAACAGTCTTCTCAGCCACGGTAAGAAGTTTCCAACTTCCCACGTGCCCTGTAACTTTCTGTTTGCAGCTCAAATACCTATGTCTCACCTAGGTAGAATGGATTTTTCACTTTTTTTCAGGTATGACCACAGGAATTGTCCAGCTCCTCTTTTTTTTTCCTCAATAAAGCAGCAGGCAGAGGCTATACTTGCTCTACCTGTCTGGGTGCAGCATCTTAAACCAGCACTGTTTAAAAACCTTCCCTCCACATTTCTCAACAGGCAAGCTGCAGTCAGACAGACAATGAAAGCTATGTAAGAACTGATGATGAGGAGAGCTGCTTTCGGACAGACGATGAAGAAAACTCAGCTGCAAACTTCACAGAAGAGTGGAACCAAGAGGTGCAGCGTCTCTTGACAAAAAAATCACATAACTAAGTTCTGAGGACTGTAGCACAGTACTTTTGTTCTAAGAGTTGTAGTTTGTAGATGTGTGTTTTTGACAACAAGACTTTTGTTTAAAGCTAACTTACATTAGCTGCATCTTCTGTAACATGGCTCATTACCAGTGAAGAAAACAGACTGACGTAAGTACTGCTGTTACAAAGAATAGCGGTATTAATAACTCACGTAAACCCTTTGCACATGATATTGAACCTGTTCAGTTTACAATGACAATACTGTTTATAGATAGAAACTTGATTTCTGAATACTTTGAGATTTTAGTAGCTCAGTTTACTATACACTGTACATTTTTTCCACAGAAGAAATAAAAAGCTACAATTATGCATTTAACAGTGAATGATTATACTCCTGAGTGTATATATGTAGTAGCCCAGAAAAACGAAGTACCAGACTATATTTGCAATTTGTTTGCAAGTCTTTAAATTAAGACTTACAAAAAATGTACTAAAATAATAATTATAATAATATAATTAATAAGAATAAAAAACGTCTCTAATTTAGGGCTAATGTGTAACTTAGGAATGTTTCTTTCAAAATAATCTAACAAATCAGCCATAGAAGTTAGTGTAAATATTTTTTTTCCAAATAGATACCATATACAAAAGGTGACATTCAAATGATATAGAATCTAGTTTTTAAATCAGCACAGATCTTCTTAAAACTGTGAACTATGTTTTGAAATACTCGTTGCTAAAGCTGTTTATAAACCACAGGTGCCATAAGATCCCTGAACTGACTGATGTTACGTATAATCCTCCATGGTATTGTTTCATTGATGTTTTAGCTTTAGTAAGCATGTGTTCAACAAAACGGCTCTTTCCATCTCTCCGCCCCTCCTCTCCCCACCCCAAATGTTATTTTCGAGGCCTTCAGCTTTAAATGTACAGGCTTAAAGTGCGCTTGCAACTGTTCTTTTTATTTCCGAATGTGTATTGCCTTAGCCAGCCACCAGGTGTTCTGCATGCACTCTTGGAAATGTGTACTGAGACTCTTTCAGAGCTGGATGGAGAAATAGCTATCAGTGAAAAGCACAAGAGAAGTGGTGGAATTTGTCGGAAGGACAGGCATACAGTTACAGAACTGGAGTTTTGTCCAGTTTAGTACTTTTCTGATACAAAGGCATGTCAGGGGAAAAGAGACTTACCTGGCCATTTTGGATAAGGCAGTGATACTGCTAGCCCAAAAGCATTTGCGCTGCCGTGACTACAAACCTACAGATACCGACAGAGCAGGGACTGACACAAACTAGCTATAATGTCCTCCCCACAGCATACTGCTTGGAAATAAAGATTATGTATATACGGCACATAGCGCTGCCATGCAGAAAATCAGAGCCAGGCCAGGAACAGCTAGACCAGAAGCCGGTCAGTAACACAGTGCAATGTTACGTGCTCAGCCCTCCTGAGGAGCACAGTGTGTTAGGTTGGGATGACCTCTGTGCTCATGTAATTTTACTGCCCTGACACACAGTATTAGGCTTCCAGTATCTGGCTGACCTGAAGTGACACTAACAGCCCTGAAAACAGTAGTGTTTCATACAGATATTTCACACCAGCACAGTTTGCCTACAGCGAGTGATGAGGTACCCATCTAAAGCAGGTTATCATGGTTTGTCTGTCCTTGCTTTCATGGTGACGTGGATGTGTGCTGCCGTGTTTATGTGAGATTGCAGTGTAGCTCGACCCAGTAAGTCCACTTGTTTGCATGCATGCTCTAGGCTAGTGGCTGTTTCCCTGGGCACTATGTGTTAGGGAATGAGTATCTGTATGAAAGAGCTGCTGCCATTTTTCACTTTCATATTGTGTTATTGCTTATGCAGATCTCTTGTCCGCCTCTCCTTGCATATCTGGGTTTGGTCTGAGGCATCTAAATGTGTACTAAGGCATCCAGATACCTTTATGTAAGCTTTTCATTTCTGCAATCACTGGTCTTTGCTCCTGGGGTATGTGCCATCCTGGCAAGGCAGGCAGGCACCATATCCTCTGATGCCCCCTCCTCCAGCCTCCTCTCAGGAATGGGTTAGCCTCCACTAGTGCCTAGCACTCCATGTTTAAAGCTACTCCAGCGAATCAGCAGACATTGCTCTCAGCTCAGGATTCCACACGAGCATTTCCTGAACAGAAATAAATCAAGCTAGAATACAGCTACAAGCAATGGCTGACTAATTCAACCCATGTCATGTCTAACTGTACCCAGAGTAATAGATCCCTCCTGTACTGTCATCTTAGTGTCTGTGTGCTCATTATCGCTATGCTTAAAATAGATGCAATAGAATAAATCCATTGCAAGGGCTTCCAGACTAGGAGTAAGGAAAAAGTTGACAAATCAAGAGCCTTTCTTTCAGGCTGGTGCCAACAAAGTGATCCCCAGCAGAGCCCTGGCTCCCTTACACCCTAGAGCCCTGAGATTAAGCACCTCTTACTTGGCTCTCCAGATATCTATTTTAAGCATTTCCCAACTGTTGAGCTGGCTGTGTTTTCACCCAGCTGGTCTTTGTCTGTTTGTTGAATATTGTTTTGGTTGTGGTTTGCGGTCATTAAAACAGAGTTACAGAAGAGGTCCCTGGCACGGGCCTTCTCTTAACTACCAGTGGCCCACCACAGCAGTCAAAACTCCAGGTGGTTTTACTGTCACTGGAGGAAAACCAGTGTTTGCAATCAGGAGACAGGGATGTGAAGATTTATAAGGTCCTTGAATGTCCAAAGCGAAGGTGGAGAATGGGTTGTCTGTAAGTAGTAATGTTATCTAAACTGCATAAAAAAGGTGTGTGGCCTTTGTTGTGATATAATATGTATTTTCTTATATGCATGAGCCAGATTGTTGCGTCATAATTTATCATAAGTGTGTCCGCCTTTACTTTCAGTCATCTTCTCCCATCCTTATTGGTTCTTGGCAATTACTGTAGATAGACCTTGTAAATATTGCAACCTTGGGTTGCTGCAATCACGTTGGTTCAATTCAGCAGATGGAGCTGTGAACAACAAGCACTCCACTGTGTCCTGAAGACAAAAGGGCATTTTTACATTTGAACCAAAAAAAAAAGAATCTAAGTATGAAGAGTTACATCTTGAGGCTACTAACTGTAAGACATTTTTGAAACTACTGTACTTGACACCAGTTGAGACAGATACAGACACTAAAGATGTCATGATATTCATTGGTATTGTAACAGAACTGCTATTGTATGGGGTTTTTGTATTGCTGTTAAGTATTGTTGTGTGTGTGTGTTGGAACCTACTGGGGACGTTATATTTTGAAGTGATTAAACTATTTAATTGTGTGTCTATATTTTGGAATGGAATTATTTCTTCATTAAAAAGATTTTTAAAAGTAACTTACGGAGCATCATATTTGTGGCTTATTTGGGGTTTGGAAGTCCTGTTCCATGGAGCCCAAGCGAGTGTTTTTTCAGTAGGGAAAGAAAACATGTCCCTGTGGTGCAGCAAGTAGTACTTCTTTCACCCACACTGACTCTTTCACCTCCATGCAAGAGAACACTTTCCACCGCTTTCCCCAGCACTTTGAGCGTCGTACTCAGCAGCACCTGCAGCCAAGTGGTTGCTTCTTTCTTCTTGTCTTTAGCAGTTTCATAACATGAAAATGCAGTTCCTGGTCTGTGAAACAGACCTGTCCTTCTACTTGACAGCACTGAAATCACCCTGAGCCTGTCAGGGGTCTGACAAGATTCCTGGTATGGAGCTATGAGGGGAGCCTGGTCCTGGGGAACCTGAACTATCTACAATAGTGTATTTTTTCTTACCCACTGTTTTCCTGGCTCTGCCCTTTGCAGGAGCAAGACTTTGGAAGAGGTGCGTTTTAATGGCTTTACCGTACACAGCCACATGTAAACTTTTATTGCAGGAAGATGTGAAGTCTTTGTTTTCCCAACTACACTTTTAAGATGTCTTTCCATATACCAGGTGTTGGTAATTCCAGCTGGTTGCTAACCTCAAGGAGCACGGACTTGCAAAGCAAAAGCTCCTACTTAAAGCAACAATTTGTGTCCTGAAGAGGTACCTCCAAGCATGGCAAGATCAGGAGGCCATACCCATCTGCACTTTTCTACCCATGGTGCTGTTAGTCGTCCATGAGGCAGGTGGTTGGGGGTGTTCTGCTGACCCATGGTGGCAGTCACAATGCAGCCAGCCACTGGACAGCGTTTCGCTGGTCAAAATGTCCCCAGCTCTACCACAGCGTTGCTAGCTGGCCAGTAAATCAGACTGGAGTGGGGTCTGTTGGAAGGAAAGCAGTAGCAGCACACCAGAAATATCCTTTATCTGCTTACACATATCCCAATATCTTGGGAAGCAGATGAAACCCAGGCTGCTGCCTCCCTCTTTGACGTTGACTGCTGTGGTAGCCTATAAATCACCAGGGTTTATTTGCCATAATTCCCCTGTCTACTCAGTGAAGTTCTTCAATAAAGACGATCATTTTACACTGTAAATTATTTTCCAGATCTGCTGAACTTTGCTTCCACAATCCAAGGCCAAATTCATATCCTCAGGATCGTAATACAGGATGACATATCACAAGCTCATGGTGATAAGTGTTTTATCCACGCATAATCCCAAATTGCTGTATTTCTTCCTAACCCACAATCAGCCTATGGCCTTTGGGGAGCAAAGGAGGCAGTGAAGACTAATTTATAGGCAAAGGCTGTTTTCCTCTTTGCCTCCTGGTTACTCTAGCTGCTTTCTGCTCCACGCAAGGAAAACCAATTCAGCAGGAAGAAACAAATTAGTTTCATTTGTGAAAGGAAATATAAATACTAAAATGAAATAATAAGATAAAACCAATCAGATTTTAACAATAAAATATAAAGAAGTGGTCTTTAGATCTGGAAAGTTGGCACCTTGACTGCATCGGTGCTGAATGAGGTGACTGAAAGCATCTGGAACTCTCTAAAAGCACCTGGGAGTTTTCTTCAACAGCACATGATCTATGGCCACTCTTCCAAAGGTTGCTTGGGAGGCCCGTTGCTCAACACTTGTGTATTCCTTGCAAGCAGCTTTTAGTTCTGGATGACCCCTTTTAAGAGAATGTCACAGGAATACAAAGCTGAGTCTGTCATGGAAACTCACAGAAATGTGTTATGTGGGAAATCTCTATTGTTCCACAATGAAAAAATGTATTGAAGAATTTCATATGATTCAGGATCATCCTATCTAATACTCTGGATAATCTGCAGATTAAGGATTCCCCGTTGCTTTCTCATGAGTGATTGCCACTGGTTGTCTGTGGATTAGGACAGCTATCCCACACTGCCAGCGCGGCACCAACATGCCTTTGGCTGTGAAGCACAAAGCAGCAGAATTAGGTTGTGTCTCACTGGCTTCCCATTTCCCCAGGAGAGGGACAAGCCAATGATGAATGGGTCCCAGACCGGAATAAGCCTTTCTGAGGGCCCACCATGCTGGAGGTCTCTAACAAAAGCTGTTTTGGGGAAGCAACCTGGAGGCTGGAGGATGTGTGCAGGGTGATTGTGCAGCCACATCATCTGAACTTTGAGATAAGACTGTTGATGCAGCTTGGAGGTAATAGAGACTGAAGAAGAAAGGCAATGTGGAAAAGGCTTTCCTGTTTCTTGGTAGGAAATGGAGGAGTGCATGGTGCATTTTGTCACTGGTATACGACACTGCAGAATGTCGTTTGCTGTTTAATACAACATAATTTACCACCAGCAAATTAATTTCCTAATGACTTACGTATTTTCACATAGCACTCAGCAGTGGCCATATGGCAGATGGGTTGGGCCTGCTGTTTGTTATGCTGTCAGCCAGAGGGGCCTCGCTGTTAGCATTTCTTCTCTTCTGCTTCTTGTAGCCCAGTGCTGCATGCAGCCCACGTGTTCTCTCACAACAGAGGCACCCTGCAAGGGCATGTTTTGAGTAGGTTTCTTACTACTGCTGGGTTCAGATTTGGCCCCACTTGGTACATTCCTGTCTAAAAATGTATGGGTAAAAGTGGTTTCCAGTCTGGGGATGTGAGTGTGTGCACCTACATTTCACAGCCTTTGGTCTTTGTAGCTCCCAGCTCTCCTAACAGCCTCCCCTGAACCCAGCATGGGGCACAAAGCCTCCCTGCTCCTCCTATCTCCACCATGAGCACCTTGGGGTGATGGCAGGACAGGAGGCTGCTCCTCACCCACTTGAACCTGTGTCCTTATATTTTTGCTGGCATTCCAGTCTCACACCAGGGCGAAACAGGAACACCTGAAACCTCCCCAAAAGCTGTTCCGCCCCACCACGTGGAGCGGGGGCCACTGCTCCCCGGAAAGCATGCTTCTCACCCTCAGTGAGAGCAACCCCACTTCCCATGGGAGCTGCCATGGAGCCCGGACTGAGGGATCTCCGGGGTGGGATTCGCTCATGTCAAATAGTTCCTTTTGGACATCCAAAACTCTTCCTGGTTACACTGAAAGCATTTGTACCCCTTTCCCCTGCAAACATACCTCTCTTCCTGCACCCTGCACTGTTGCTCATCCCAATTACTCTCCATTCTTTTTCTTTCTTGCCTTGTTTTTTAAAGCCACTGAGAGTAGCTTTAAATCCCCGGTGGTGTTACACACACAACACTGCTGCTGTCAGTAGGAATCAGGTGCTTAGCAAGCCTTGAAGATCAACACTTTTGTCTCCACGCTTCTTTCACATCTGCCTTCATGTGAAAAAGCAAGTTTGCTGGCTCTGTAAGACCCTGCTTTCATCACCATAGATATTATGCAGGTGCAACCAGCCTTAAACCCCCCCCAAGAGGCCTCAGCTCTGAAAAGCCACCCTATTGTCCTCTCCGCAAAGTGCCAAAGCAGTGGTTTAGCGTTTTTAGATGCCATTATGTGCTCTCCAGAGCTGGTTTCACATTTGCCACCTCTAACTGTGCACTCACTCTCGGCTGGTTTGCCCAGAGCCCCTTGCAGTGCCCCGGCAGACCGAACTGCTCAGCCCTGTTTGTTTTGGCTGAAAGGCTGATACTGGAGCTATTGCAGATGGTAATTAGTACTTGAGGGAGCGCTGCTTCCAGGGAATCCTCTCCTCACTCGCTCTGAGTCACATGCATATTGGAGAACACTTCACCAGAAACACATTTTCTGCGGATCTAAGCTCTCACAAATTAATTGAGTTCATGTATAAATGCACGAAGGAGGAATGACGAACGCTCTCCTAAGGTCGTCATTGTGAGGAATATATGCAGAAAGACACGTGTTCGCCAATTAAAAACTGGTTTGATAGGGGTTATGCAAGGCCTGTGCAGCTCCAGCATTGGTTGTTTGCCTGCAAAGCAGCAATCAATGGGGAAATTAACTCTGCTGCAAGTTGGGGTTACCAAGGCTGATGGTGCCTGGAAGCAGAAAAATTGAATCATCTTATGTTTAGTTGGGCATCCATCACTTAACCTAAAGGGAGCAAACCTGCAGGACTAAAACCAAATGCAAACCAGATCACTGGTTAAGCAGCTATTTCATGGCCAGCTCCTGCTTTGCTTAGGAAGCAATTCGTTATTCCCCTACATGAGAGTGGTACATCTCATCTGCTCAGCTAATGCTGCCGTGTGGCAGGTGGTTTTCCTGCCGCGAGGATGCAGCGGGCTCGCTCCTGCCATGGCTGAGCCATTAGGTACAGCTGAGGTACAGCAGGCAGAAATTTTCCCTAATAGCTCTCTTGAGTTGATAGCAGGACTGCATCTGGCTAACCCTTTAATAAAAACGTGATGAATAACCATGGGGTGTTTTCCCTGGCAGCTGAAACCTTTTCTAAGATGGGAATAATGTTCATGTCTTCAGCCACTCAATAGATGAGACAGAAAAGCTGGTGGCTTTGTCCCGAAAGTGTGAGCCATCCTAAATCTGGGGTGAGGTTTCACACTAAGATGTGTGATAATTCCAAGAGCAAGAATGCCTGTATCAGGTCCTTTCCGTATCCTTTGCTATAGACTGTCTGTACAATAATAGTATTTATTGTCTCACTTCTGAATATAGAACTTGGCCAACACATCTTAAGCTAACACATTAAAAAAAACCCTGGGAAAGGCGAGGTTTGAGTTTTGTTGAGTATCTGCATCATGCCCTGTTGCCTAGGTACCTACGCTTAAAATTCAGAGACTGATTTCTAGGAGTTATGAGCTCGAGAAGTAAACAAGCTCTTTTAAGGATGCAGAAGAGAAGGCGGCTCAAATTTGGCTTGCTATATTTACTTTCTTGTGCTCATTTGGGCATTCATTGTCTGATGATGGGCTAGAAACATAGATACCCTGCAGAAGCATTTCCCTTACTCACTTCAGCCAGTTTTATATGCCTAGCCTTGTCTGATCTCTGGCACAGACATGCATATGCACACA